ATTGTTGTTGATGTTGCTGTTTTTGTTGATAATGCAGTGGTTCAGATTATTGCTTCTCTCTTTGAAATACCGGTGATCTGACTGATGATTGTCCCTAATCTCACGTTGTGCTCTTAGTCATCAGTTGACTATCATCGGCAACGGAACTGTCACCAGACCACAGGCGGCCCAAGCTCCAGCTGTGAGAAGTGAGAGTCATCATAAGAGAAGCGCTTCTCCTATGTACGTAATAAACCTAGAAATGGATAACTTGCTTAAATGGGTTCCTTTCAACATCGTAAGCGGTCAGATAACAAGCGATGCAATGTGGAAGTAAGGTGAGGTATATTTAGTGAGAATTTGACTGTGTTTGTTTTATTCCTAAAAGTGGTCGTAAATATTCCCATACAAACTGATATAATTTCGCCGTGACTCTTACTTCGTAAGATGATCATCTCACAGCTGGAGCTTGGGCCGCCTGTGTACCAATCAGGAAGAAAAGAGGACTGTATCATTCAGAAGTTTCAAAAACGCTCCTTTATATAAAGGAGCGTTTGTACCCCTTGATATAAAGGAGTACAAGATAATTGAGTTGATCTGAACTATAAATTATTATGACGGACTCAGAACATTTTACATTCTTCTAAAAATCTACAGTGCGTTTTTTTTTTTTCCAACTCCAGGAAAAATTTTTCCAAATGATAAAATCTGTGGGACTCTGCCTCACTCAATATGGCATCTCCGTATCATCTTCTCTTGAATTTGAAAACATGCGCTCATGTGCACATTTTCAATTCATCGTAAATAAAAGTAGCCTGATGATAAAAGGGAGGCGAAGGAATGGAAAAACCGAGCGAGGTGTGGGTCGGATCATGCAATGCGACCCGACCCAAGCCTCTCTCGTTTTCCTTCGATCTGCGGCTACGACGGCGCCGTTAGCAACAACAAGGATGAAAGTTATGAACCATAACCACATGCAGTGCTATGGTTTCTGATCCAAGTTCTTCACTCTGCAAGTCACTGGATATGTTTTCTGTTGCTTTACGTTCACCGCCTGTCCTGTCCAAAACTTTACAAAGATTCAAAGCAATTCTGCAGTATTGCACTACGCTTCTTGTATACTGAATCACATAATAAATATATCACATAAACAGGCGAATAAGCGCGCGTGCATTCCGAGAACATGGCATTGTTTCTCAATCAATGGACCAGGTAAAGGAGGTAAAATTATGATTAGCTCTTGAACGAGCACGGCCTATATTTTTTAATTGCACAATTTTGCTGTATAAATTATCCCCTTTCAGAAGCCCATTACTTGAGTGATGGGCCCCTGCTCCTTTATATTTGAGAAATTAAAAATTTTCTGAATAATTGACAAGTCATAATTTCTGGGAAAAATTGCGCACCCAGCAAGATCAAATTGCTTGCTGGTAAGCTGGGAGTGAGACTGGGCGAGTCTCTCGCTTTTCAATTCCCTATCAGGTGTGAGCTTCAAAACACCGCTGATAAGAACTCCATGAGAGTGACTGGGTTAGCCGTCCCAAATCCATGATTCCGGCTGCAAACTTGTAGTTACTCTTATGTACGTGGTAGGCGAAAAATCTTGAATCTTCTCGCATGAGGTTTGTTGCTCGGAAGGAAAGTTTGAATTCAACAAAGGAAAACTTAACTTTTTGATTAAAGAAAACCATCAATCTTTTCGTGCAAAAAGAATTTGCTCTCGCTGATTAACTGGAAACGAATACATTAGTGTTAGGAAAACTTTGATATGAAATTTACTCATTAAATTGATAATTAAATTTATGATGATTGTTGTCATCCTCGTGATCATTACTATGATTAGTATCACCATTAGCATCATACTTATCATTATTTATAATTATTATTAAGATTAGTATCATTAATTCGGTCTGTTACTTCACATGGAAAAATAGCGACGTTTGATTAAACATGAAATTCGAGTTCGAATTGCAATACCGCGAGTAGACAGGTCAGTTTGAAGGTTTTTTTCATTTACCAGGAATTACTTACTAATGAGTGTAGGATGAGAAAAGATTCGTGCAATGACTTCGGAGTTAAAATAAAAGTAAAATTTGGTTTAATGTCCCGTGCCATTTTGCAACCCAATACCTCGGAGGGCTTTGTGTAGGGTGATTGAATCAAATCCGTTTGTTATTTCAGTACAGTCAAATTCAATTAATTTTCATGAACTTTTTTTTTCTTTTTTTTCCCGCTAATACCGAGTTGCAAAGGTTGGCAATATTTATCATATTATCGTTATTTTTCTTTATAGCTTTGTCAATACACTGTATTCAATACGGTTTTCTGAATGAAGAGTACAGCAAGTAGCAAGGAGTTAAACGCGCGCTTTAAATCAGAGCTAGAAGGTGCAGGGGAGTGGGGGGGGGGGGGGGGGGGGGGAGTGTCAACTATGCCATTGTATCCACTGATAATCAGCGCTTACCCAGAGCCCCTAAAGATGACAGATGACGTGGGGAGATTTATACCGAATAGCTAACGGTTTAGGCTGCACACCTCAAAAGGCCGGACTACTATGATACTTGTTCGCAGGATCCTCGTTTCTTTAAGATGACAATGAGTGGCTCTGAAGACGAGTGGGTTTAAGAAGGCAACACATTCTTGGATTACCTGAGATCTATAGTAATCCAAGAAAGGCCCGCCCCAAATCGTGAGCACTTGTCAACAACCGCTTACACATGGGTGGGGAGGGTCAGTGGGTCAATGACAAACGAATATATTTCAAGCATCTAGCTTTTCATTCTTTTACATAATACATCAATAATAGATATTTCTTGCTCAAGGGCTTAGCACAGCGGGATACTGTCATCCTCAGGGACAAATTGAACCCTTTCGTGTCTTAGATGTGTTGGAGTATTTACAGTGAAAATATTCAAATAGACAGTTATGTAGATAACACTATTAGAAACGATGCTAAATCATATTCATGCGTCTACCATTATTCACGCGACACCCTTAATCAGATTGTTTTATATTTTGGCAGGAACAAAAAATAAGTGAGGGAAATGTATCCCTCCTTCGCATGGGATATGAACCAAACATTCACCTTTCACCACAGTTTTTGACTCGATGGTATGAGTTTCAATAGCGTTTCGATTCGCTATTTTCATTTCCATTTTGTCTCCTCAGGAAACTTATGTTCAATTTCATGGCAGACCATCTCAGACACAATTTCCACTCTTGCTGACAAAACGCCATGATATGGGCATATGTTGGCTTTGTTGAAAATTAATCCCCTGACCTAAACACAAGTTAATTGGCACAAATTATTAAAACTAATATTTGGCTCGATGGCGGCTTTTAAAGCGGCGAACAGCGGCTTTCGATTTTCATTGAAGTGGTAACAGGCACTAAAAAATAATTCGTTGTGGGTTTTACTATACAAAATCTGATCATATGGATCGCGAAAATAATGAAATCTAAAGGAAAACGAACTTAAATTAATCTTGTTAGATCTTAGAATAACTCCGTGACTTAAGCGGGCAATAACCGAAACCTTAATTAAAACCCGCAGTGGATTTTCATTCTAGAACTTGGTATTGAAGTGAATTGGTTTTCTAGACTTAAAAAAGTTGACAATGCCTTTATAAAAATGGGTCGCTTCAAGTTCGAGAACGGTCATCGATCCAAAGCGAATATAAGAAAAGAGTCGCAAAACATCTGGAGCTGCCCACAGGATTTTTCTTTAACAGCACACCACATGGTTTACACAAAATACCCCCAATCTACAAAGGAACCAGACATCTTTCGAACAAACAAAGTGAAATAAGCTCATTGTGAATTCGATCTTTGGGGGAAGTCAAGAGTGATTTCCGTCGATCAAAGTGTCCACCAATCATCTATCAGTAAAGTTTATTGAAATTGTTATTTGCGTAACACCACATCAGACAACTATAGACGCGCCAATGCGTCTAGACATGCACGTGACAATATTTCAGCCAATAAGAATGGTTTTACTCTTTGCTGCACGTCGGCAAGTGTTACCGTTGTGCGCTATGGTTGTGAGACGAATTAGTTGATGTGAATCTGCCAGCTCTTTACATGCTGTCTAGACGTGTAAGTTTGCGACGTGATCAAGGAACTTAGATCTTCCTTTCGCATTTTAGGCCACGCAAATCTTTCAGATCGGCTGGATGTGATCGCCAAGAACAAATGTTCAGCTTATATGTTCAAGTTGTTGAGACTGGTGAACAAACTGTCCCTACTCGAGAGTTACTTCGTTCTCACAGCCCGCAAGGATTTTTCGCCTGAGGAAAGTGCCGAACTGAAGTCAATAACTCATTCCATCTTAAAGCGACTCAACGACAGCGAATTCACAGCTCTGCAAACGGCGCTGGAATCGAAAGGCGGCCTTCAGACGAGTTGTATTTTCTTTCCAACGCACGAAAGACTGGGCAAGCGCGTAGTTGTCGAACCGCAAGTTGTTTTGTACCGAGTATTTCGACTCCCGCAAGTTCGAAGCTCCTCGGAACTTAAGCGTAGTCCATGCTGCTCGACACGAAATGGCTTCGACAAGAAAGTGTGTATCAACCCTTTCCACTACAGTACAGTCGTGAACAGTGGTAGGTTTTAATCCATCAAATTCGAAATTTTGTTCGTAGCGACTCTTGTGGCACTGTTTGTGTACCAGATTTTATAACATTTTTAGCATCTCATTTGCATACGAGACAGATCTTTCTTTCTCGCTTTGTCGTTTCGCTGTTGTCGATCATTTCGTTCGTTTTTATTTCATAGGACCATCTAGTGGGATTTACACAGCCCTACCGAAAGCAATGGAGGTTAAAAACGACGAGTCTTCTGGTATGTGCTTTGGAAAGTTCGGTGTTCATAGAGTTTCGTGCGTGTATCCGTTCCAGACGTTCAACCCGTCGGTTTCGCTCACTGATTTTCCTTTTTACTTTGCAGGGTTTTTCAGTAACCATACTCAATCGACAACTTGCCCCATGGACAGCCAAACCTCGTACACGGAGTCTGCTCTGCGGAATATAGGTATAAAATTTTACATACCTTGCTGTGACCTTTGCGGTGTTGTGTCGAATATTTACTCTTTCTTTCGATCGAATGTGAAGCCTCTACTATCAAACTGTTTCACGAGTTGTGAGTGAGTAACCCACTCCATCGGAGTGTCAATTATTTAAGGAGTTCATCTTTTTTAGGCTCTTTTACAAGGCGATCTCGTGTTTGAACGCGAATTAACTTAATTTTTGGATGCAATTGCAGGGGCAGATTACTGCAATGCGACGGATAAAAGTTGGTCTAGGCCGTGGTGTTCGATCGCTTATTGGGAACAAAGTGAAAGAATTGGACCGTCGTTTGAAGGGACTGCTGATGTTATCAACGTATTCGAAAGTCTACCCGAGCCCAGTGGGTTCTGTTTAGCTGCACTCGATCGGCGAAGTGACGTACCTGAGCGAACTAAAAGAGTGCGAGAACAGATCGGTTATGGACTACAGTTGACACGCGAAGTTGATGGAGTTTGGATTTATAATCGAAGTGACTGTTCGCTATTTGCAAATGGTCCAACGCTGACTTACTCGAACGAAAGCATGGCTGGCGGAAAAGTTAGACATAATATTCTGGTGCATAAAATTCCACCCGGATATTCGCTCAAGGTGTACGATTATAAATTAAGCCCACAAGTATGCCGGGCAGTGGACAGCGCTGGAGTGAGGTGTTATCACCCCGAGACAGTGCGAGTAAGTTTTAAGAAAGGTTGGGGAGTTACATCAACTTCTGAATACCGTCAACCACTCGTAACATGTTGTCCGTGTTGGATCGAGGTACATCTGTCGGTTGCGCGGTAACACGCGTGTACGAGCGAGACCAAGATAAGATCCATGTAAAAGGCGATTTGTTTATGTGGCGGCTTCCTTTCGATCGGATCGTCTAGCATTTCACAGAGTTATAGAAACATGAGTATGATACCTTCATAGAGTATATTATGTATATTGTATATAGAATATTGACTGGCCGAAAATATAATTTAAGGACCTAGTCCGTGAACGAGCTAAATTTGGACAGCGATGAAGTAGACATGTCTCCATAGGAGAGAAACAGATTCTCTAATTGTACAGCGTATTGTTGTTTAATGTTGTTACGCGAGTGAAAAAACACACTAAGAATGAATATATTATATTTTCAATCACGGCTCTTGTTGTGATTAAGTTTCCTTGAAAAACGAAAGTATTTCGGCAGCTTCGGTGTAGGTGTTGAGTGCATTTTGCGCCCTGAAATTGCTCTGATGTCATTCAACCCTAATCCGTCGCATGCGGTTGACCAGACATTCGAATAGACCTTCCGTTTCATTTGTCTAAAGAATAGCCTTGTTTCGGTATTACTCTGTAATTCTTTGCTACGAATGCAATATGCTGTTCTTAAAACCTGTTTATGGGTTAAATGAAGCGCTGAAAATCTTTCAGACAGGTAGCTTATCATAAAGATTAATGTTTAGTACTATCTTTTGACACAACTAAGCTATATATTCATAGTTATCGGGCCGAAACCACTTTGTATACATTACGCGTGATAATTCATTCGATGTTGACTGAGTAAAACCTATTTATGGTGAAAGACTTGAAGCAGGCACGCGCGCGACCAATGTGATGTCTCGTCGCCTCGGGGCAATGAACAAATCTAATATTTTCTGCACTATCCGAGTTATTCGCGCTCCATAAACCTCGCTAATCTTTTGACGTGATATTGAGCTCTCTTTGGCTAATGGAGCACAAGAAAGCATGCACGTGTTTTGCGCTCTCTTCTTCAGAATGTGCGCCGCTTTCATGTCAGATATATGATCCAAAGTCGGCGCACAGACTGAAATTTCGAAAGATCACTCATCGGGCAACAGAATTGTAACAGCTCAGAGCGCGTAATATGCTAATGTGGAATTGTTTTGCACATTGATATGTCTGCAACCCCCGATTGTATGCATGAAAATACGAATATAACGCCGATGTTTGCACGCACTTTCTATCGACACTTAAAACAATTTCTCAGTTTTTGTGATCTGTTGTTAGGTGATGTCGGGATTGCATGCAAATGAGGTTTTCAAGGTGGCTTTCCTTAGACATGGGCGGCGTTGTGGGAGAATAATTTTCAGACATCACAAAATTAGATCCATGATGTAGATATTGAAAGAGAAAGGAAGACTTGGCAGCTGTTGTTTGCTTCTCAGGAAAGCAACGGGGTTGATTCTTCGGTGTGAAAAATTTTATTCGACAACATTTTAAAGACTTCACACGTAGCTTTTCAACTCTGGCCTCCAAAACGGAACTGAACTGTCCTCAAGACCATCTGCTTCTTGACGTACCAAATAAACCTGACTAAAAAAAACTGTTATATGTAATTAAGAGTGTCTCGAAGCTTTCTTTTGGTTGAGTTTTAATTTCTTAAGGCTTGATTTCAGAGAATTATTCGCTCCTTTAATCCAAAGCTCAATGAATTCATTCAGAAACTGCATGGTGGTGAGAAAATGTCTCAAAAAAGCAATAATTTAATCACCTGGTGTGATGAAAAAAGTAAGCAGCGAGAACGTTTGATAAACTTTGTCTCAAAACAAACCCGAGGCTAAGGAACACCTTCGGCGAAATTTCTCATAGAATTATCTGATCAAAGGCATGATTAAGAAAAATCCAATGTTAAATTTCATGTTTTGGTTGTAATATACGACAAATAAATTTGAACGGAAGTCACTTAGGATAATTTAAATACGCCCCAGACATTACATAATGTACAAATTTGGAAAAAATGTTGCGTGTTGATAATGAAATGCCTTCGAGAAAGCTGAAATGTTGGTTTCACCGCTCAAGGAAATTTGACTATAAGATATAATCCTGTGAAACCGTTTTCGAGACGAAATAATAAACGTTTTCATTGAATGGAACATCAGAGGGGTCTAACTGCCGTCTTCCTGTGTCTCTCATTGTACAGACAATGGAAGCTTTCAAGTGTGTCGGGATCCATGTTTACGGTCAAATTTGGAACACATCGGTTACACACGCGCTGAACAGAGAGAGCTGAAGTTTTTTTTCCTTTCAAAGACAGCATTGAAATTGTTCTGTAGGCGCCCCGCAATCGCGTTTTGAACTCAGTGGGGGACGTTTCACTCAGAACATAGACAAAAAAGTTAATTGTTAGAACAGGTAGAGTTTTCGGCTAATTTTAATTTTTTTTCAGTTTCAAAGGTTTTAACAGACTGAAGAGTTAAAAAAATTCAGACTTCAATTTCAGCATAGGGTCAGTCTCAGGGTGCTTACAATACCTGGTCTATTCTTATTCAAATTACGAACAGCTGAGTCTAGTCATTCAAAAAAAAAATCTTGACAATTTGCCACATGCCTGTAAGCACGCCTCGAAACAAAACGGAATGAAACAAACAAAAAAACCGAAATAAAGGGTGACAATTTTAGGTTACCCCTGGAAAACCTTTCAGTTTGAGAAACAACTTATACTTGGCATGAACAAAAGGAGGGAGCGCTAAGAGAGACTAGATTTCGATACCGTGTTTTTTTGACATGATCCGACAGCGATTAGTTTGTATTTATTCCTACGCAACCTAACTACTGTCTGGGTATTTTAACATAGAGGACCATTAACTGCACTGGCAAAAACTGCTGCTATTAGCGTAGCGTATGACCCTACACCATATGACAAGTTTTTTCTACTCCACCAACCAGTGACCAATGTCTCTCTCAAAATTAATTTTTGTACATAATTTTCGAAATTAAAATACGACTGAAAGAAAAGAAGAAAATAAAAGGCCCGTCATTCTTGCCACATCCGCAACGGATCTGTATCCTCGAAAGTGTCGCCGCTAAATCATTAAACTTACAAAAACTCCTAGTTTGCCATAATCTACGCTAACGGAGGTGCCGCTCGTCTTATTGAAATTTACAGCCATTTTTAATATTCTTCTTTATTTTTCTATTCTCTTTCATAGCATCTCTAACTAGACGACACCTGCAGTGCATGATTACATGCTATCAAGAATAGCATCGACGCTGTTTGGTAATTGCATTTAAAAATATAATTGCCCCATCGGTACTTTTAAAAGAAACTTTAGATTAAGGCCGAATAATCCCAACAAATTGTATGGTTTCCCGTCGTACTTAATTGCATGACCGTTAGAGGGCTAGGAGATGTTTCTTTGCGCTGTTTTCAAGGCATAATGATATTAGAAACGTCTTAAAAACAAGGCGAGCACCAGTTTTGCAGGTAACTGTTTAAACAAAGTTGGTCCTCTCGGCCGTGTGAAAGAAATATTCCGGCGAAAAGAAGACCGTATTGTTGTCGATAGTTTAAAAAAAAAAAAAAAGGAGTCCAACAGTTTATTCAACGACAACAAACAATCAACAAAGCATAATCCTTAAAGGCCAAGGATTCGAAAAATATCGCCTACCCCGTTATTTTTCCTTCCTTTCATTGCGGCGAATTTCAATAGTCGTTGATCAACAAGTAGAAGTGTCCCAGTAAAGCTTGCGCTAATACATAACACGAAAACAATTACGTATCCTGGCATGAGCTGACCAATATGTCACCGTGTACAGAAAACGGCTTTCGCACTTAATGCGTATGAATGGGCGTGTCTGTCATGGAGTCCCTTACTAGTCAACTGTTTTATTCAATCAAAATCGGCCGTGCTCGAGACATGTTTGTGATATTTTTTTCGTAGGAACTTTTTGCGCTCACGCTGACCTTGTCAGCCTTAAAAAAATTATGATACTTATTGAAAAGAAACTGTAAAAAAAGGATCCTTGTCAATATCTCTCTAATGATGTTAGATCGGCCGAGGGTCAGTCTTTATTACTCGTCTCGGAATGTTAGTTGTCTCCGGTTTGCGAAAGGATTATCACGAAAGATGGCTCTCTGAGGACAGGTACCGCTCATGTTTGACGGCAGATTATAATACTTATGACGGACATCTGAAAAATATTGCGCAAAAGGGTCAAGTTATGAGACATTTTTATTTAAGGGCGGAAATTCTGAACTTAGGATTTCGCTGAAGTACTGCACGATGTTGCGTTAATCCCGTTGGCCAATTTGAATTGAATTCATAAAGTTATTGATATCGATTGTCAGATATTATCATTGTGCAAGGAAGTTGAAAGTTGGAAGTTGAAAGCTTAAGTGCTGCCTGAGAGTGTCTGAATATTACTAACGCTGTCCACGTATGACAAACCTGGAATTTTGTGTGGATCACGGCCCGATAATGAAAGGCAGTTGCGTCAGTACCATCAATAGTTTAAATATCTGTTTAATTATGTCACTTCATGTCTGTCTTCAACTATCATTCCGTTCTGTAAACGGAAAATTGTTGCTCATGCCTACATTTTCTCTTACATCTCGCCATTTTCTGTCTGAGAGATATTTCAGTCTAGAGGCGCATATTGATCAGACAGATCAGTGATTGATGGCTTGGCTTTCACTAGTTACGTAAAACAAAAACATAGGCAGAAGGTCTTAAGCGCCATGGGATCAGCGTGCACGCAAGAATACATCTGGCTTCGGTGATTGCTGAGAGAATGGTTTCACAATCCAATCTCCGATCCTTGTCACAGAAACAATTGACCTTAGTGCAACTTAGTTTAGGCAACAGTTAGGTACGGAATGTTACAAGGGACGATTTCAGACACAACATTTTAAGTTTTGGCTGCTATAGCTGCAACATATCGCCATAAAAAATTTTTGTGTTGGAAACAGTCTGAGCGCCAAGATTAAGGATTATATTTTTCATTTAATAACATGATGTTTCATTCAAAAATCGGCGATGAAAAAATCAGCTCTTGCCGGTAACATTTCGGACTTATTCATCATGATAGAACGGTAAAACCCAAAAGCAGTCTTTAACAGTGTAGCTCTATGAAGAGGTGCGGTTGCCTTTAAGGAACATTGGGGGCCAGAACTCAGAAGCTTCGACGAAGGTTTGATTGTCAAAATTTCTTTCGTGTTCATTCGAATCGTTGATCGAAGACACTCTTCTCCAGCCCCAGCGCTGACGACACAACTTTCCGTTTTGAAATTAATTAGTGCAGAACACGGCTTTATCGTTTATCCGTATTTGCAGCTGCACAAAGTTAAATGTAGTACATTTAAAAAATTGGAACATTTTATTCAGAGAGCAGAGGGGATGGGGACAAAAATGTGACTGACTTGTCAAACTTGCCAGTTCTTGCCAGTGCTTTCAAACTGAAAGTACATAGATGCATTGTAACAATTCAATGAATTTTTTTTTCCAGAATGTCTTCTTCTGGCACACCTTCCATTTTAAACTCATTAACTGATCTTTTGTTGCTACCCACCTATTAAGAAAGCTGGTGAGCTTAATAGGATCATGCGCAGTCAATATAAACGGGCTGGACACTTCAATACTCTTAGCTGGATATAATACAGGAAATAGTCTGTGAATATGCCGGTCGATTCAACTCGAAACACTTCAAAGAGCCTCCCTCGAGACCAAGGAACAATAAAACATTTACCGTGGGGGACTCTCAGTGACATACAATGAATATGTGTAATTTCAGAGAGTGCAAAAACACACTGAAGTCTCTGAACTATTTTCCAACAGTAAAACTTAAATTGAGAACAGCAGTTTTAAAAAAGGCCGGCCATTTCCTATGGGCCCTTCAAACTAGGCGGTCTTTCATTTGAAAATAAGAATCAAGTGGAACTTGGAAACATGAGTTGATCCAATAACGTGACGAAATCTAGAGAGCTTATACAAACTATAATCGACAAACGTTTAGGAAGTTATTCGAAACAGCTGCATCGACCTTGGGGCAGTTAAGGTCCGTGGGAGAGCTTGGGTGCTTGGCAGCAATAAAAAGGAAAGAATTCAGAGAAAAAAAGCAAGCATAGAGTTTAAAATTCCCTTGCTGTCTCGTAGATAGGCGTACGAAGGCCATCAATGAACGTATCTTTTCTATCCCGGTTCGAAATAATATATCAAAATGAAAAAGTCTCGCAAAATGAAAACTCCTGTAAATTGATCACGATCTCAACCACGAGATTGGTCGGCAAATGACTTTACTGTTCCCCCCATTTCATAAGATCATACAATAAATACAAAGCTAATACTAAATCATGAATTAGCAACTTAGTATAAACCATGATTGCAAAAATGAACAGGCTGCAGTCAAACCAAATTCCCCCCGCGCGTAGTATAAGAAGTAAATTGATCACGCTGAGGTAAACATCTGTTTTAACGGAGTAAATAGCTCAGCTGTGGATTAGTTTATTTATATCCAGGATTTCTTGCGATTAGTCTATAATTACTGCGAGCTAAAAGAACGTCCCTGTCGGATTCGTGAAAAAATGCAGTTTGTTTCACGTTTCAGTCACTTTATCGTGCCAGTTTGCCGGCATAAAGCATAAAGTCAAAACCGAGTCCTTAAACTGAACAACGAACCCATAAAATTGAGATGTCAGGGTGCTGAGAATTCCTGACGTTAATGAACCACGGCTGGCACAAAAATCGCTGTAATACCGCCGCACTCAGGTAGAACTGAACCCTTTCACTAATCAACACTGTTCACTCTGAAGGAAATATATCATTGGAATTTTCTTAATTTTGGCTGGCTCGGTAAAACAGAATGCAGACAATTAAATAGATATTTCTCAGCTATGTGATTGTAAAAAGTATAAGCTTAATTAAAATACAGCTGGCTAAAACAACAACAGAAACCCCATTATATTTTTAACGTTTAATGGTATATAGCATATAAAGAAATACATATCAAAGTGCTGTTTCACTGATAATTGTGCTCGCACCTTTAAGAGCGATGTGGAACAAAATATATTACGAGGTTAAGATGATTTGAGAACAGTTAAACTTAACAAATCTGACTTTACTTCGCGAAGTAAGCCTGATAAAAGGTTCTGAACAACCGCAATGCCGCATTTTCTAGCTGAGAGGGCTATTCGGTCGAGTGTCACGAAACCACAAACAAAGTAGTAAATTCAGCCCGTCAGAACAAAAGAAAAACATCAGCTTAACCAATCAAAATTTAAATTAAAATAAAGAAATTAGCTTAGGGTTGAAGAGCAGAAAACACGAGCCACCAATGCAGTCTGGGATTACTTTCTATACTCAATTGACTATCGCTTGTCAATGCACCATCGCCATACAAACGAACAAACACCGCGGTGAAAAAATGTCGATATACTAAAATGCGTATTAAAATTGTCAAGTGGAGTGAAAAAGCATTGTCAAGCACAGCACTTTCCAAAACTGTTATAAAATGTTACAAAAAAACATCGTAAATATTTGGAGAAAAGCATACGACTGCAAAACAACCTCCCCAAATCTAATCCTAAAATTTTGAAGCATTCCTCTTCAAACAATGTTTCTTGATCAAGACCAAGGAAGTTAAACAAATACTGACACCAATTTCTTTAAATTCCCTTGCAACGTCTGATATACATATTTAGTATTCCCAGATTTAATTTAGTTTATATCATTATTAAACTATGTTAAATATATCGTATTATATTTCCCATCTGCATATGAAACTGTGCTATGAAAATTTATCTATAACTGTTGATATATAAATTAGGATCCAAACAACCTGTGTCGGATCATACCCCCTTAAATGATTAGATTGTTAAAATTATCATATTTGCTCGTTAATTGTTCTCAGCTGTCTGTTGGGCTGTAAGAAATCTTACAAGGCTTTCACCAAACGCGAAGAGTATTTCTTGTTACAATAACTTCTCTATTCGAATAACAAAAGGACTGACATATCGACCTCTAAAAGAAACCTCTCTCATTCCAAAGAAAATATGCGTATGTCTTAATTACATAGTTGTACAAAATGCCGCCTTTGCAGCCACTTTGAAGAGCTAAGTCCAAATATTTAATCTACCTCTTACGCTGTGCAAAGCAACTTTTACCACGATGGAAACTGCGAATTAAAATTTCAGTTCGGAAAAATATATAAACACAAAAGGGGTGATGAGATATCAAGAAATAAAAAGGATTGCAAAAGATGGAGAAGATTAAGACAGATTGCGAACTTGAAATACTGAAGCCAAAATTTTTAACAGGCAGGGACCACGACATTGGCCTTAAAAATCTCTTAAGCGATCCCACTTGGCTTTTCAAGTAAACAAAATTTCCACTGAAATATTCCATGAATTGGATATATAAGAGATTTGTCTGCAATATTTCCCAGACTAATACATCTTTAATTCCCTTTAATCTTGTAATTTCTGAGGATTTGCAGTTAATCTCGGTGTGAATTGACTTCCTTGTATCATTCCTTGCTTCATTTACGTTCCTAATTCGATTATAACTCAATTTTTTCCCCATCTCTACTTTAGAGCATACATCCTTAATAGGATAACTAGGATGTTTGAGATATTGAAACGCTCAGAAACCTTCCGAGGTTAAGTGAAATTCGGCGCAAGCTTTCGTCTGCTAACTAGGGGATTTCAACATACTTCTCAGATTATTCCAGTTTCTGTTTTCGTTCCACACTATCGCAATTCGCATGAGGGCGTTACTGCTGTAACTTGACGCTTTAACCGAAATCTGCACGACCACATCAAACAAACACGAGCAAGCTTGAGGAAAACGCCTATAAGTTCGTAACTCACTATCTAAACACTCCTATCTCTATGCCGAATGGAAAATAAGTTTCTGTACTTAATTTACAATGGATCCACAGACACAGAGTATAACCAAATTTCCTGAGCTCCACGGTCGCGAGACGTAAACAAAATATTGATTAGACACTCTAATCTCATCAATGTGTGTAGTCAATTGTTGGTTCACCATCGATTTGCGCTCAACGAGCACGTACGCTTTCAAAACACTCATTAAGAGTATACGTTTGGGATCAAAGGTGGCATAAAAGTTACAATTTTTTGTGCACTAACATATTTTCTCCGTTTTCAAAAATCAACAGGGCCAACTAGATTTGGACCCTTGAAAATGATGCTCAAGAACGAACGTGTCAAAATATTTTACGACATCAGTGGGACAAAGCTGCATTATTGGATAAAAATAGGATGCTTCTAATGTTACATCTCTACTGCACAAGTCCACTGTCTATCGAAACCTTTGATACATCCTGCAACATCCCGGATACGTTCCCGCCGCACCATATTTGGAGTTGCTCTCTAGGATCCAGACTCGTCAGACTCAGGATGGAAGAGTTGAATATGATCTGGGTTCCAGTAAAGTGTCGATGATTTGTAAACTAAGGACCAGACATATGGGATGAAAAACTCCTCTGGTTGTTCTTCCTCCACGTATTTGAACTTAAGCTCAGGAAATTTCTTCAGAAAGCAGGAGTTTGAAAAAAAAATTAAGAAAACCAATTACTACTTCACCAATGACGCTGCATTTTGTTTAAAAAGAGAAATGACAGCTTTTTTAGTGCCTCAATGACAGCCTTGAAAGTGCAGGAGCGGCATCAGTAAGTTTAGCAGAATAATGATTACTGTCTAAGTAAGGACGATAGGGTAACAACCGTTATCAACGTTATCATCTTAAAGAAAGGAGATCAGTCTCAATAGATCCAAACTTGTGGTAGTGAGGTGCAGGGGTTCTTACACAAGGTGCTCTCTGGGCTTGTCTGAATGCAAAGCTAGCACGGAAAAAGAATGTTGTTGGAATGAAAGTGTACGTCACACGTACATCATCATAAGTACTCTCGTTACCTTGAGTCTATCTCTAGGCCACTGAAGTGTTCCTTGTTTAATGACATCGAGCACCACTCCAACAGACAGCGTCTGCTCTGGGTGCTGCTCCAGGCGGGCACTAAAGAATGCCAACACCTAAAAAAAAAATACGCATTAGTCATCTCATTTTGAACAATCGATAAGAATCACTGATAACCCTTTTAAGTGATTAGCAACAACCGCCATATAGGAGGTCATTGTGCCCAAAATAACTCAACAGAGAGAAAAATAAAGCTGTTTGTAGGCTACACGATTTCCTTCTCAATAGATAAAACAAAGAGTCACGCCTAAACTGTTTTATAGCTCTCACTACAGGGTGTGGTAGCTGATTGTGGTCTCCAACCACAGTTCAAAATCTGACACACACGTCGAAGGAATCGAAACTACCAATTGAAATTAAAGTTTAAATTTGAAGATTCCATTTCGGTGCATATTGTACCATCTCTAAAAAATTATACGCTTTCTTGAAACTGCTAAACTCCTAAGATGTGATGAATAATTCTCCCTTCAGATTGTTACAAAATCTATGGAGAATTCATTGGGAGAATTTGGCATTGTATCTATTCACCTGTTGGTACTGATATAACGAGGAGAAGTTATGTATCACTCGCATCTCACCTGCTCACAGTTAGAGGGTTACATAAAGGATTCACTCACCGTGTCTATATTCTGTATAATATCTTGGAAGGTTGGGTGCGTCCTAAACTGAGCGAATAGTTCTCTTCTGTGGAGTAAGGTGTACACCAGGTTTGGATTATGATGAAGTGTGTTGGTAACACACGAATTGATGATTTCCAACACCATACGGATCACTTCTTCAAGAATTGCAAGGTCTGCCAGCTGGGGAAGGAAATTGGACACAAATCATAAGAGAGGTTCGGGAAGGCGAGAGGAGTACAGTTGTTACTGTTACTGTATATACTACAAAGTGCGTAACAACAAATGTCGTAAAAAAACAATACCGAAGTAGTCACAAACGCTAACCAAAACAAAGGAACCGACGACTACTCAGAGCAAATAAATGTGAAAGATCTTTCACAGGCGTGCAAATAAAAACCAGTGACCAGTGGACCGCCGTGTACAAGACCTCTTAGTGTCTTCTGTTTATCCTGCCCCAAGACATCCCCAGAGGGAAGGAGCCTTTTCCGGGCAAAGCCGCCTTTCCGCAGACAATTATGAAAAAGGTTAATGAAACCCTTGCTTTAAGACGCGACTAAACCAGTCACAAATGGTATTAGTTAATGCTGTCTTGTTGTAAATCTGACGAGATTTTTCAAGGCCAATCTTGAAGTGAAGTAATGCAAACCAAGGTAATGAAGACTACCTTCGACGATCAACTGAAAATTTCTCTGAACTTTGCCACTGAATTGTTCTTGAATTTGTTTTTCTCGTAGCAGTAGGCCGCTCGTTAGAATCACCGACACCCCACTTCTAAGTCAAACAGTTAACCCTTTAAGTAAAACCAAATGTGTTTCATTTTTTATGAAGAATTCTGTTTGGTTCTACAGATACAGGTTAAGGGCCAGTTTTTTTTTTTTCATTTAAAAAAACCAGAAACTTATTAATTAGTAGAAGACAGACACAAGTACCCCACGCACTTAAGAAAGACCGTCTATTTCGTAGCTAAATGTAATTGATTTAATTTTTGCGTCTAAGATATCTTGATTGAGCTGCCAAACGCAGTAGGAGGGTCATAAATCTTAATCTGCTTTCCATCTCACAGGCTTTGGGTGATAACCTGTCTCCTTTTTTCCGCAAATATTTCCTAGAAGAGAATATTTGCACGTTTCTGATGAAGCCGGCGCAGCAGGAAGTGTGAGATAAATGTTGGTGTCATACGTGTGGATAAGTAAGTTTTTCTCTTATTCTCTCTGCGGTTTATTTAATTTTATTATGGCCTTAGGGCCATATGGCTTTTACTCCAAAACTCCCTCCAGTTGCGCGGGCTATTTTCAGTACTGCGGAAAACTTCTTCCGAAAAAAAAAAACAAGCAAAATAGAACACAAACAAACGAACAAAGTAAAGCACAATCATATAAAGAGAATGCGATATTTGAAAATCTGATCTAAGTTTCCAATGTAAGTGAGACTAACTTAAAATTTTGTGTTCATCGCCGTCGTGCAAACGAATATAACACTGAAGTCCAAGCTTGGCTTCCTCGTTTTCTGTAGCCCGTTTTATTACTGAGAGAGTTAAGCAGTAGGGCGAGGTTGATTAAAAAAAAATTGTTATTCCGTCCTACACAGCCGGAGTTTCTGTCTTTACACCGATCACGGCAATCATTGAAAATCACCCATAATTCGCGGTGGAGTATCAAATGGCGGATTTTGCCGATCGCTTCGATCAGAGTATTTAAAGTCTTTAGTGTGCAGTGTGTCGAACATCAGCGATTAGAACCACCGACATTTAACATTTATCTACAAGACAAAAATCCGAGATACTCACGTGGTCGCTGTTGTGAGCTTCGTTTGCATTTTGCTGTTGGTTGCCACTTTCAGCTTGTTTCAGCAGCTCTGTCACCTTAGCGTGCTTCTTTGACAGTAGAGCGTACAAACTAGAGTTGAAAAAACACAAAATCAAATGATTAACAGAGACAGATCAGAAGGAACCCTATTAAATTCATTGAATCACAACTGATGAGGTGATCGCCCAAATGACAGTGAAGAAACCAAGAGTGTAAATATCCATCGGGATTGATCTAAGAACATTCAAGCACAATTTGAGCAGCTCCGTCACACATTTCGATTTGTTTCTTGCGCCGTAAAAAAAACCCTTGTCAAATTGGAGCATCCGATACGATACATTCAAGTGGGAGGCTACTTAAATATCAAAGAAGAGGAAAAGAGAGAAAGAACGTGATGTTTAGGGTTGGGGATTGATGATCAACACAGATTCTGAATGAAAACCTTTGAACAAATTTCGGCTAATTCTTTAGAATGTCGAAAAAAAAATTTGGGGGCTGGTTTTCTCCTTTTAATGATCCACATTTTATGCTCTTGTAGATGAAAGAATCCCGCAAAAGTTAACTACCTTCAATCAACAGAAAACTTCGTATGCATATCAAGTGTCGATTCGCAATCGGACTCACTCTACTATGCAGTCTTTTTCGTTATAAAATGACAAGGAAGAATATTTGAAAATATTGCTTTTCTCTTCTTGTTAATGTTCTGCCTCTAAATGCAAAATCAAAAGAACTAGCTCTCAGCAGAATTTCATTCATCTTAAACCACAAAAGGCGTGCTCCAGCGGTAAACGAAAATTCTTTTAATCTGCAAAACCGGGCCTACTGAAGTAAAATTATCATGCTGCACAGTCGCACGTTAGGAACTTTACTTTCGTAATTAGCGGCTTAGTAGGTCGCTAAAAATCGCTTGGGACGATATAATTCAAATTAAGATCCTTACAGCCTAAAAAAGGTCAAACTCTGCTATAAATCATTTCGATTGTGTCGGACATGTGGAAGGAGCTTACTGTGTTACAACCTGTCGTTCAATCAGCAGCATTGCTAAAAAAAAATGGCCACATGATAAGTGATGAAAGTTAAAGTCTCATTTTAGTATTACATGTAAAACACGCCTTATAATTGCGGTTTGTGACTATTTGTATTCACGACCTTAAATGCACCGTCTAAGGAGCTGTCTAAGCGGTACGACGTTTTACAGACGACATGCTCTGACAAAAATGTCATTGTTGCGATCTATCGAAATAAGTAAAAATAACAATAATAATAATAATAATAATAATAATAATAATAATAATAATAATAATAACGATGGGCAGTAACGGTGGACATTCCACGAGGTGGATCTTCCGTTCATTGTTTTCAAGTCGAATTGGAATTTCGAATATTTTTCATGTTTGTTGGGAGAGAGGCTTTACGACGGAGTTTTGTAAAAGCAGGGGTTTCAGTACCATTTCCCATCAGCATCCGCCGATGGTGTAATGGGCGGCCGTGGTTTCAGGCGAAACCCAATCACGACAGCTGGCTTGCATGTTCAACAGACAACACAACGAGGTTTTAAAGGTGGCGGCAGACCGTCGTTCACCGGCTGTGTGAGCACAACTGCTGATGAGGGGAACGAAAATACTGAAAGGAACCAGAGAGAACTAAGAGCAAACCCGAGGATACTGGTTGAAGTTGAACAGAAAGGAACCTGAACAACAACTGTTTGGTTAAGTCTAAGCGAGTATTTTTTTTGGAACAGTCACAAAGCGTACCGAAATAAAACTGAAGTAACCCAGGATGACTTTAGTCTGTTTTGAACGTGCATTGAACAGCGCGCGATGGTTGTTCAAAGCGGGAAAAAGGAGAGAAGATTTGGAAAGGTCCTCACTTTTTCGTTCTGCGCTTCTTTATTGCGTCCAGTTTACTAACACTACTTCTGGAGGGGGTTTTTTAAATTTTTTTATCGACCCTTTATTTTAAAAATTTTTCTATAAATGTGGGTATAAAAACCATTACCTGACAATTCTTTGTGTAACATATGGGTGAAGCGCGTGGAACTGTGACGACATATTGGCTAGTGTAGCCAGGCAGTTAGTATGCAGATATTTGTCCTGGAGTAAATATAAACTGTTTTAGTTTGCAAATATATCAGTGCCCGATGAATTGATTCTCACAAGTGAACTGCGATTATATAACAAAAATTTGGGAAAGAAAAACCCTCTAACTTTAAATTGCCCCAGTTCCAACGTGTGGCCTCGTAGCGCAGTTGTTAGTAGCGCCCAGTTAGTATCTGGGAGCCATGGGTTTTCTGCAATTACTTAAATGGTCGCTCAACTGCGAGAATCATAACTTTACTTAAGAAAAATTGCAGAAACTAATTAAAAGTACTTCTAAATAAAAATGACGGTTTAACGGAGCTCCAACCGTTCATTTAAGATGATAGTTAAGTAGTTTTCCTGGAACCTAGGATCAGTACATAAGTTTTCACATTAAAAAAAAAAGTTTATCTTTGCTTAATTCATAGGAATGTATTGTGTATTTGTACAATTGTCAAACAAGAATTTTGGTTATTTCTTGATTGTCAAATTGCCTCACGATGATGATGATATCTACAGTTAATACTCACCCTCATTTTGGTCATGTTATATTGTATCGTTCTGAGCACAACTAACACTAGTAGACCTCCCAGGGTAATATTTGTAATAACTCGTTCTGTATACCACGGTATTGTGGGAATTACCTGCAAGAAAACCCAGAATATAAAACATCTAGTACTTGCTCGTCAAGCGGCAGCATATTAATAAATAATTAAAGTGAAAATTTTGAAGATAAACCTTACACATAAAGACGGAACAATCATCATCATACATCCTCAGCCCTAAACACAGTTTGGCGACACAAAGCCGTTTACGCCAAATAAATTATACATCTTTGTCGCTTAATCTTGATTTTGAGATGTTCGTCTTTCCGAGCAAACAATTATTTTCAGTATATCTGTTCCATTTAAACTAACAGTTTCCTTCTCCTAAAATTGCACAAAACATCGCGATACTGTTCGTTTAAGGCTGAAGTTAGAATACTCAGGAATGACTCGAAGTTTACAAAATCCCCGTGTAAGAAGAAAAAAATATCTCAAAGTGCAAATCTTACCAGCTCATGAACTGACTTGTTGAAGTTTTCGTCCTGGCTCAGAATTAACAGGATAATGAGGGACATATAAATATGATGTGCATTGTGATTATCAGCATTATAAAGTAATTTTAGAATCGGCATCACCTGGAAAGACAGAAAGAAACAAATAAAAAGACCAGCAGCTGAAAAGCTAAAGGCATTTTATATATCAAGTTCACATTCATTATTGCATGTGTACTGTATTCAGTGGCCTGATGGGTTTTGCTTTAGAAGTAAGTCCACGTTCGAGCCTCAAGCAGGTCATGAAGTGGATTGCTGCCTATTAAACCTAATACTGACTACCTTCTGTTTAGCATGTAAACAGGGTTTTTTGTTTAGGTCTTGCCTTTCGACCCCTTTCCGGGCACAGCCGTCTATAACAACATCGGCAGCCGCTTATGGCAAGAGTTATCAATAACTGCTGTCGTTTCACTGCGTTGTTGGACAAAACACTTGACTTTGGCTGTGCCTCTCCACCAAGAAGCATATATGGGTACAGATTACATATCAGGGAGGGGGGGGAAAACCTAAAATGGACTTAACCATGCAAGAGAACGAACAATGCTCTTTGTAGCTTCGTACTATAAAAAAGTGAACGTGCCCCACTAGTATAAGGCACCATGGATACGAATTTGTTCTGAGTTCGACTTTTGGTAGTAGGTACTTTGAGTATACTTCTTCAAGAGAGTTTTACAAGGGTGTGACATTTGCAAATAAAATTGGGACTTGCTCACAAATACAAAAATATAGCCCTTACCAAGTTATCAATATCTGTCCTCGACAGGATAAAAGATGCCACACTGGAATTGCGATGCAGTAATAAATACAACAGAAGTGTTGTTTGATCTTTATGTAGATCTCTGTTGGTAACCAACAACATCCATCAACAATTACCTTTAAGTCTCAGACAAAATGAATGACCATAGTAGAATATGATTCAGAAAAGGCCTTGCTACAGCCATGATCATTATCTAACACAATAACTGAATGACTGCAACAATCATTCAGTGCACCTACATTACATATAAGTACACAAGTAGCAAAACAGTCAAGTATTATACTTTACAGTCTTCTCTGTAATAAGGTCCTTAAACACGTTTTCACGTCTTATAATAGAACTGCCAGATTGAGTACATCAAAGGTGTTACCAGTACTTAATAATATTTTTTTTGCAGAAACATCTCAGTGAGACAGAGTCTTCATCTGATTGGCTAATCATACCCTAATAACAGGCCAGCTTTGACAACACAGGCCAGAGTCTGACATTGTTTTTCTGTGCCATTTGGATCAAAGTGGAAAAAGGAAACCAAAGGCAAGAAAACAAAATGAAGGTATTTATTGTTCTAGGTTAATCCTAGGTGAAAAAATGCAAGACTTAGACACAGTTTTTTACCCAAACTTAGACCTCCCACCAGATAAACAAAACATTAATGTCAACCTGCAGATTGCTGAGAACAGCATTCCAATGTGGAGCGTAAAGGGAGGATCACCCTCTTTATCCAAATTGTCTTGGTCCATCATGTTTTCTATATAAAAATAGCATTGAATATGTGAAAGGATGCATCCAAACATCTTACACTACAATCTTCAGAGATTGTATGCATTTGTGTAAAAAAATCTTTCCGATTGCAAAATAAAAACCAATACACAAGAACAGTTACAGAAAAATTCCATTTTTAGAGCAATCTGGCTATTGTAAGTACATGTAGGAAGATTAAAAAATTTCAAATACCTTTGAGTTTCCTATTTGTGAAGTAAAACAGTGCATGTCTGTAAGGATTTATTTTTTTCTTGTCCTGCGTGCAGTGATTAACAAGAACAAGCAGCAACAATAAGCTCTGATTTGCCATAAGGGAGGAGTCACCTTCACTTGTGCCTTGAGAGCCAAACCATGACCATACACCAGCTAAAAAAAGTGAAAAAGAAAATGAGAGATGCCATTAATTCTACCACTGTCATGTTAATGGCAGTTTTAATGCAATAACAGGGTGGTCAGTATAATCTGAATACAAGGCATGTTGCCCATCCTTCAAGAACTCATCCCAGTTAAATATCAAGGTGTGTTGCTATTCTGAGGCCCTCCCTACATAGGATTCCTGTCCATTGCAGGTTCCGCCTTCCCCCTCCCCCACCCTGACTTTTCATCATCCTCAGGCTTCCATGACAAGGTGAATAAACAAATATATGGTAGTCTTTGATCAAACAATAAAAAAAAATTGTCCAATAACCAAGCTTAAACATGTGGGTAATTTGAAAGAGCAATTCTATATATACCACTAGTACCTCTTCAGTATTTGTGAAATACAATCTTTACTTTTTAATTTCCTCCTAATATTCACTTGTACACTGTAAAGTGCCATCAACCCTCAGTATACTGTACTTGTTCTATAAAGATCAAGGAAAATTCCTGGACAGCCGACAAATACTTACAAAACCAGCCTCCATTGGTAACTCTTGTAAGCTCTGCTGGCGTTTTCTCACTTTTGATGAAGTTTTTTAAAAGAACTCTGACAAGGTCATTTGCACTCGAATTGCTATATGTAATAGAAAATATCGCATGCAGTCATGGATGCCTAACGTAACTGTAAAGTAAATATATGTAGCAAATTTTTTGTAGTGGAATGCCAAAAGTACAACATGTATGTCTGGAGTAACTAATTTTATTCACAACCACTTACTAGACAAGAAAAATGAATAATGGATAGCACAAGTAGTAGAGTTACATATAGTGTTATATAATGAACAAAGAGCATAACTGCTAATTAGGCAACTGATTGAAAACTATATAATTTCTATGAGTCATGTGAGTAGTTTTATATCAGAACCAAATATACATATAAGTAGGGCAGTTCAGTATTATAGTAGTTGATAACATAAATTGGCCACCGTAAAGAGTTTTAAAAGTGACATATTAAGTTGTTGCCCTTTGTCAAAACATATAGATATAAGTACTCTGACGGACATTGACATACAGTTTCCTATGAAGAAACAAAAACAAGAAAAATTTTCATATCCAAACAATCAATATAATTAGAAATACTTATTATGTTTTTCTTACCATTTTCCCTTCATGATAACCTGATAGAAGATACTACTGTGAGATGCACCAGAGTCAAACATCTGAACTGATAACATGACCAACAGAGTGTTTATAGCTTCAACATGAATGGGATATGTCACTTCACTGTTGAAACAAACAAGGGAAAAAAATCAACCTCTGGTCCCAGTAAAAGTCAGTTGCACTGTATGCTAGTACAGGTATCATGTAGCTTATGTATCAGGAAAAATAATATGCAAGAAAAGAAAAGCTGGAGAATATTGAGACTTAAGAATGTATGTTTAAATTGTTCAATAAAAAGCTAAGCTGATTCCATAAGTTCATTTATCCATTAATAGATATACATTGTATTAGTAGAAGTTTGTCAACAATCATAAATCATTTTACTTCATGTAATCCTGAAACCTTTGCATTACATATAGCAAAGAAGAATTGCTTAACAATAACCAAATAATTACTTTATACGTATCTAAACTTCTGTGCTGACAATATCAGGTAAAAATGCTATTCAAGTCATAATAGAAAATTAATAAATTAAATTAACAAATTCAATAATTCTAAAATTAGAAAAAAAAAATCTTATTTTATGATACCTGACAGGCACATTGACAATGACATCAATAAGACCACAAATAAGATCCTCTATAATTCCACAGTCTACAAAAGCAGACAATAAAAAAACATGAACATTAATTGAATACAATTCTATAACTGCATGCATGGCAGTTATTTACAGATGTGGGTGTCAGTTTTTATGTAGGCAAAGACAGTAGCAGTGCAAAAAGTAATCATTACATGTTTAATACTGATAATAAATTATAAAAATGGTACCAACTTTTACGTATCAAGGTCAACAAAATAATAATTATTATTCATTTTTTAAAGTCCTGAAAGAATGGAAATTGACAAATAAACAGAGTATCTGAAATTAAGAAATATTTCAATCATTATGGTGAAATTATTTGTCAATTTTGGGGGCTAGCTTACATCTCATATTCTTATTGGGTTCCTTTTCACTGCAGTTTTTCAGAAGGAGGTAGAAATGTATCTATTGGATGGCATTATCCACCATTCAAACAACAGGGGCCTGGGCCCAGTTGTTCAAAGGGTGGCTAATGCCATTCACTGGGTAGATCTTTACTAGTGGACAACTCTGTGTGTTTTGTCAACATTGATCTATCAGACGGTTATTTATTCAGTTGATGGCATTATCCATCCTTTGAACAACTGGGTCCTGCAGCTGATTTGATCAACAGATTATAGATGAACTAAGCCTGCTGCTAACTTGCTATGTTTTTTTTCATACATCCCACAAAATTAAAATGAAATTTGGTCAAAAGGGTCCAGCAGAGGCAGGCCAACAAGTGGTATTAATACTAAATGAGGAGGAGTTGCTCATAGAAAGTTCAACAATTTATCACCTTTATCACCTATAACAGTATATGTATGTTATGCATCAATCATCACCTGTGCAGCGCAACACTTGTCCAGAGAAGCCAGACACATCCTCGTCACTTTGAGATTTCACTACAGAGCCTCCTAAATGCCTGATAACATCTTCATTGGGTAACATCTCTATAAAATATTTTGAAAAACTACGAACAAGAAGGATGGCATTGTAGCTCTCCGATGTGAAGTCACTGCTGTGAAAAGCAAAAAAATTGATGTGATATCAGTCAGGCAGAAAAATAATTCAACTAAAGCACTCTAACTGGTATGCTTACATTTTGAAGAACTGGCATTGTATTTATCAAATGAAAGGAAAATCTCAAACTGAGGCCTTGTTCAATCAACATACATGTGGGTTTTATCAACTTAAAGCCTTTATCTACCAGAAGTAACATGCAAGTCACTTCTCCCTAAAAAATCCAAATATTACTGAGCAAACAGGTGATCACAAACTCAAACTTATCTAGAAGTTTGAAACTCAAACTTAAGTAGAAGTTGTTATCTTGATCTAGCACCAAATTCTAGTAACTAATTACAAGAAAATGTGTAGAAGCAAGAGGGGAGAACTGCTCATCAGATCTTGGGAGTTAAAGGGTTATCACTGTGTTGTAATTTGATTTACAGCTGGACTCTGGTTGACTCTTAATTTCCATTTTGTCCACAATTGGACAAAGGAAATTGAGGAGTAACATGAAGAAATTTCTTTAGCTAAAATTTTAATCAAACTGCAACAAAAATGGCTACAAACAACAGCTGAACTCTCCAAACAACCAAACAAGCTTTAGATGAGTATACACATACATGCTCTGACAACAAATGCTCCAAGTATGTTTTTAAAAACATAAAAAAAACAGACACACAGACACATGGTACTCAACTTGCCAATCAATTCCTGAATTGTATACCTGACAGTCAAGTTACCTCTTAATATTAACTGCATGAAAAGAACTTTTAACAGAATTGAGTAAAACCAATTAACAAAGCTATGAATACTTACTTGTCACATTTTGTACTGTCTTTCAAATCTGGTATCCTTTTCAAAAACACTTTTATAAGGGTGACAAAATTTCTTGTTGTTAAATTGTTTCCAACTGAAAAGATGACATAATAATTAACTAACTTTATGATAAATTAATCTAGTGTAGATTAAGTCCTAAGAAGGATTTTATAAATCAAAATAGTCTAATATCAATTGATGCTCAGTTGGAACAAGTTTCAAATATTTGAACATGTACCTAGCCTTTGACAAATTGGTTCTGTAGCTTCCTCCAACAATCTGGCATCAGCACTGAAAGAATAGGAAAACTATGTTGATTTCAATTCTATTTGTAAATGTGGAAGTACAGTTTTGTCTAAAAAAAAAGGAAATGTAAACAGAAAAAATCCTATAAAAAGATATAGCAGAGAGAGTGATAACTTCTTTTTCCTAAATATTGTAAGACAAATTTTAAGCATTGTGGGTACAGACTGAAGTGCACTATTCTTACTCTCTTTGATTTGCACGAAAACCAAGTCTAAAAATTTCTTTCCCAGCTCTAAATATTCCACTATTATAACATTTGGGCTTATGACTTCAATTACATCCTTTATTTGGCATGATTGTTGACATTTTGAACTTTAAAATTTATCAATGGTTCATTTGGACATGCTCTGCATAAGCCTCGTAGATAGTAAATTAAATCAATTTAGTATATAAGATACACTCTAGGCAGGTTAAATTCAGTGATCATTAGTGTTGTTTTCAAAAGTGTATGGGAATCCCTCATGTGACCGGTATAAATTTTGGGCATATAGTGGTAGGCAGCTAAGGAAGTTTGCGACCACTGGTTCTGTCCCTTCATTGGTTTGTGGCACATAATTTTAGCTCCAACACATGTCTAGAGCTTGCTCTTGAATTTTGAAAGCCTTGCTGTATCTTTGAATGAAAGTACAGGTCATTATAAACAGTTGAAAGTTCTACAGGCAGTCAGTAATGTTTAAGAAAATTAACAAAAGCAGTTGACTGGCCATGTCATAATGATGCGATAGTCTCACAGTTATTTCCTTTGAAAAGAAACTGTTACGTTGCTGGCTGTATAATAACAGAAGGCAAGTGAAATAAGTAGTTCTACAACTGATGTCCAAGTCAAGTCAAAGGCAGATGTAATAAGAAGCCACCCAGTAATAACTTTTGAAAAGTTGTTGTATTAACCCTTTTGTTGGGAAAACAATGGATTTCCAAAGTTCAGCCTTTTTAATAATCAAGTGCCAAGCTAATCTCAGTCCAGTTACTCTAAATGCATGTAGTCACGAAATTTTTCCAACAGTCTGTTGATAGTGGATCGGAATTCTTCCTCTAGGCGAGTTACTTTAGTTCTCCCTTGAGTGGCCTGGTCATCATTTTTACTTTAGCCAGTATGGGCAAACTAAATATGACCGAGTGATAAACCATATGAATCAACGAACAGCACTTTCAAAGCTTCGAAAACGAAATTTAAGGAGCCCCCTTACCATTCCATAACCATCTCGTGATTGCCAATTAAATCACCAGACTGTGGTAAATCAAGTGAATAACATGCTAACTTTTTCATCAAAACAAATAATTCCTGACAAAATTTCCAAAACCATTCTATGCGTCTTCCCCTCTGTACGAAAGTGCGCCAGAATCAAAGCACAAGCCACAGATTGCTTTCACAAGAGAAATCATAAACTTAATAACTCAGCCAATGTTTACAAGCAAACTATCGATCGTTGTACCTAAATTTGACATGTAGTTAGGTCTTAAAAGAAATACTATCCCTCCGCGCAGAAAGCGTCAAATAGAGAAGCTCACACTTCAGTCCTACCTGGCTCTTTCAAAATCATCTCTCAGATTTAAAGAAAAATTAATGCGCAAATATAGGACTAAATTAATTTGGCTTTAGCTAACCTGTTGTAGGGAGCTTGAAACGAGAACGCCAAGATATCTTGCCAAAACTCTTCTTCTTCCCCAATCGCTGTGTCTCCAGTGAATGTTTGGAGGACAGGGTTGTGTTGCAAATCGCTTATAGATGAGGGTTTAGCCCCCATTTTGAGTAGAAACTCGAGCTATAGAAAAGTTGTAAAAAGCTGCATTTTATTCTGTAGTTTAGCTTCTGAAGAGTGCCACGAATTCTTCAACAGTAATCCGCTGACAATCAGGTCAAACTCGAGCCTGCATTCAGGTGAGTGTTAATGTTTATCATGTGGCCGTGGCTTGAAATTCACTGAAGTTGCTGTATTTTCACACGCCTCTGCATGGAAATTAAACGTAAAGACTATGGGGAACAAGCAGACCTCCCAGCTAGAGCCAATCAAGCTATCACCACACAACGAAAGCCTTTCGAAATTATTTAAGGTATCTCGAGCGTTTCCGTCTGGGGATTGTAGAAACTATTATGCGTTGGGAATTTTAATATTTCTGCAACATCTTTCAGCTCGAGCTAGCCATTTATTATACTCGCTGTATGCTGTATTTATGAGTGTTTGTTTCTAAAAACAAAGACCGGTTGTCTTTCGGCAAAATTTCCGCACAGCTCATACTTTATTAGGCATACAGTTCTTGGATGAGGAAATCAAGGGCGAAAACAATAAATTGCCTTCGGAACAAGGTGTCCAGCCTTTTCATAGAATAGCGTAGGGGTAAAGTTTCAGCACAGCCCCATACTATTGTCAAAACAAATCTGTTTTCCCGATGGAAATGTATTGTTTTTTTCATTGTTTTCTCTAGTCAAGAACTGAATGCTTAATGTAGTATGGGGTTGTGCGGAAATTTTACCCAGCTTTTTCCTAAAATAGCATAGGGTTATAAAATTGCCTTCGGGATAAGGTGTCCAGCTTTTTCATAGAAAAGTATAGGGTTTTATTAATCTTTTTCTTAAATTTAAAAGTGTGTTGAAATTACAATTAAAGCAGAAAATTCTGGGTAGAGTATATCAGAATTCCCACACTGAAGGTCATGTATGGTGGCCGAGGGCTGCCACTCAAAATTTTACAGTTTTTCTAGGATTGAATAAAAAAATAAAAGATAAAAATAAACCAAAACTGAAAATGAAATGGAACGTGACTGCAAAACAAAGGAAAAAGAACAACTGAAAGAAAAATGGAGTAAAAATCAAATTTAAAAGCAAAAGTAATAGCATTGTCAAAGAGAAATCATTTCGAAATAAATCTGAAATCCAAGGGCAATTCATGTGGAAATAAAAAATAAATTCAACATCAAATCAAACCAAAAGTCAAAGTGAATATCGCTGTGGCCAAGGGCTGCCACTACCATGATACTGTGCAGGCATGATTGTATGTCCCATCATGCATTGTGTCCCTGTACAGAAGTTGTGAAGTTGTTTTGGTCTTGAGTGATTTCAGAAGAGTTTTTTAGTATTTCAATGTCTTAATTTTTTTGTGCATTGTGCCTTCATCACTTGATCTACTTAACAGTACCATCATTGAAAAATATGTCAAAATGATAAGCCTTCTATCAAGCATTCTTAGACTCCATGTACAAAGTGGAAAGTCATTAGTGAGGAAATTTATCATCTCTTGTCTTTGTGATCCTTGCCTGATATATTTCAGCCAAGCCTCTTCAGGATCGGCATTATTTTTCCACAAGGCTTCTCTGAAATCTGACATCAAAATTTTAAAAAATCTTCTAAGTCACTCAAGACCAAAAGAACTTTATCACTTGAGTCAAAGGATACAATGTATGATAAGACATACAATCATGCCCGCACAGTATCATGATAGTGGCAGCCCTCAGCGATATTCACTTTGACTTTTGTTTTGATTTGATGTTGAATTTATTTTTCATTTCAATGTGAATTGCCCTTGGATTTCGGTTTTATTATTTTATAATGATTTTTACTTTGACAATGCAATGATTTCTACTTTATTTTACTTTCAATTGTTCTTTTTCCTTTGTTTTGCAGTCATGTTCCATTTTACTTTTAGCTTTGAATTATTTTTTCTTTTATTTTTTATTCAGTCCTAAAAAAACTGTAAATTTCGAGTGGCAGCCCTCAGCCACTATAGTCATGGTAGACCTGCAGTTTATCTAGAATATCAAAGCTTATGTAGATTTTGGTGAAAGTTGTTATTTTGCTGTTTATATTTCCTTCTTCTGTAACTAATTTTTAAGAATTGTAACAGCTTGCATGTTTTTTACGGTAGCTCTACTTGAAAGAGTAGGAGCCTAGGGACAGGGATAGAATATGATATAAGCCTGTTGGCAACCTCAGGGTCCCATAGTCCTTTCACTTATTTTTGAATGAAAAGTAAGTTAAATTGGTGCAAGAGATGGAATTTTTTTATCTGGTATAATTAAATAACAGGAACTTGCTGAAGTTACAGATGGAATATCATCCATAAGAAAAGAAGTATTTCAGGTAAAGCAGATTTTTGTTTTCTGGTTATGACAGAACCCTTGTTTCGTGGCGTTTTGGTTTTTTTTTTCCCTTTTTTTCAGTAATACCATATAAGAAACACAGGGTGTAGAGGTTTTTGTAGACCATTTAAAAGATTGATTTTTGTAAATGACTTTTAATTTGCAGTTTATGTTTATTTCATTTCAGAACTACTTCAGATCTGAAGTAAATGAATTTGATGAGCCACTCTTCTCACTTATAGCATTAAGTGGAGGATGTGACAGGAATGCAGTGCAACTAGGATGTGATGAGTTTGTCAATGGATTTGATGTTTTCTTAGAAAAAGGTGTTGACTCTGAAATACATTACTTGGTGTATCCCTTTACATTGTTCTACTAAGGATTCTGTAGGTTTGATAGCCACTACTCCCTGATCTTTTTTTAGCCTAAGGTGTTACTTTAAAGGAAACACCCCTCCCCCTCCAAAAAAGTTGCTCTTAGCCACCACTGAAATGGAATTGATGTCAGCGCAGAAGCTGCCATCTAGAATTTACAAAACTGACTTATCTTTTACATATCATTTTACAGAGCATTCTTGAGTACTTCTCTTTTCACTTATGTTGATCAACTTAGTTAGTTGGTTCTTCAACTAAAGTGCAGCAGACAGTACTTTTCCCCCTCCTAGCACTCTAGCCTGTTGTTGCATTCTTGACTGCAATTGTGAGTCAATTGAGGTGATACCACTGAAACCAATATACCATGCTAGAGTAGTTACTTTTAGCCAGCTTTATTGAATATGCTCTAAATCACATGGCATGAGGTGGAAAAACTAAAAAATGAAAGTCAAGGACCAATTAAACAAAAATGCCTGAACCAAAGATGTGAGAAAACAAAATAACATGAAGCAAAGTGATAAATTACGTTGCCCAACTCCTTAGAGAGTAAAACAGGGGTTGTTCCACTGAGGTTAATTTTCCAGATTGATTTGTACCCTCTATGTGTTCTTCTGCTGTAAATGATTACATCGCAAAATCAGTTTTTGGCGAATGCTTGAATTACAACTGTCAAACATTAACTAGCAAAATGTTCAAGTGTGACTCATGTCACACCTGTATTTAGTAACCACATTTTATAAGTTACTTTGTGAATGATGAGTTGTTAACTATTTTTCCTTCTGAGTAGGAATGATAATTTATTGATGCTCTTTATTAACATCTGAAGCTAGCTTTTCCTATGGAAGATGTCCAAGAGCAGAATGTTATGCCCTCTTATATGTGTGGTATGGTTATTTCATTTCCATAGGAGCAACATCTGCAGGAAGATTAGAATTATACTTTGCACTGTTTAGTGATGGACAATCAACCATGTTATTTACAGGTAAATTATCAACTGGCAAGGTTTATTTTATTTAGGAATATACCACAGAGTCTAGAGTCTGGAGTTTGACTCCAGCTAGGCTGCAAAGGAGTTGTACAAAGGAAAGAATTAAATGGCCAAGAAATATTAAGAACACATGCTCCATTCCACCCTGTTAATGCTTGCATTCAGTCTTGTTGTGAGGGTAGATCTTGGCAAATGGTTTGTGGTCCTACTGTTAATGTTGTCAGTATATTTCCAAATGTTATGATGGATTGATTCCTAAAACATCATTTTTTCTTAACCAATAAAACAGATCTGGTGGAGATGTTCCATATCTCACGATCTCTTGCTGTTGTTGTGGCTGGTACTGCCCTTCAGAGTCCTAAGCCTGAATCACAGACAATAGCAGATGTGTGGGCAAGGTCAATTGTGAGTTGAAAGTTTTCTTGTTGATGCCAACTATTATTTGTCAAAAATTTTTCGAAGGCTTAAAAGTCTGCCAGGGCTGAAGTCATCTCATGTGTAACACACTAATGATGTTTCATATAATGTGTATATTTTTCCTGATATTGCTGAAAATGGTAGGAACAGCTATGGCACAGCTGAGTTACTTTTAATTAATTGTGTTTGAATCAACAGGAATTCCCTGATTTGTAATTTAGTTACCTTAAATTTGAACAAACTTAAGTATGGCTCTAGAAATGATTGGTGAGGCCTAAATTTCTTGAAATTCCTCTTCTAGTAAATTATTTGAGGATGTAGAGTGTATGCACATGAGTTCTGAACATTGAGGGCATGCTATAATTTAAGCTGCAATGATTTTAATTTTTTGAATTATTTCTTTGATTGTGGTGAATGTCAAACTTCATTTGGTGAATGAGATAAATTCACAACAAATGAAGCTTAATGTGCACATCACTAGTAATTTAGCCTATTTTTGGTCACCTTTCTGCAACTGATGTGAGATAAGCTATAGAGTACACAAGGTAATGAATGTAGTATTATCAGCTGAGTTGATAACATAAGTTGGCCACCATAAAGAGTTGAAAAGCTGATGCTTTGAGTGTTAGCCCTTTGTCAGAGCTTTGTATTTGCTCACCTTTTAAACTCTTTATGGTGGCCAAATTATGTTATCAACTCAGTTGATAATACTAAATTCCCCTGTTATACTCTCCCGCTGACACAGCACCACAGTTTCTTTAGAAATTTACCCTCTTAACCCTGTCACTCCCAAGATCTGATTGTTAATTCTCTCCTCTCTCTGCCACACAATTCCTTATAAATTAGTTGTAAGAATTTGATGTAAGATCAAGATAAAAACTTCTACCCGATAAGTTTGATTATTCTCATGAACTGTTTGCTAGAAAATGTAAAAATATCACAGGGAGAAGTTACATGTTAGTCACTTCTGGGAGTTAAAGGGTTAAATAGTTTATAGAGTACACAGTTAACTAACTGTGTTTTATATAATAAGCTCAGTTATGCACATATTCTGATTGGTTCCCGCTTATGATCTATTGGAGGACAGACAAATAGATGACATCATCATTAAAACTTTTTTTTAATTCTTTATTATATAAAACAAATAGATTCAGTGACACACTCAGCTATGCCTCACGTGCCACTTTTATGTTCTTACCATATTTTGACGTCCTCTGTGATCTATTACTGAACAGACGCATGGCAACTTGGAATCTATTTGTTAAATTTTTATTACACCTCAATTTTTGTTGCCTTTCCTTTTTTAAAGATTGGTGATGATGACAACACTCAAGTAGACTGTCAAACATTTTGTAGCTGGGCCAAACAAAACTGCCCAAGAGTGTTTGATGGAATTCACTGCTGGATGAGGAAAATGCTCCTGCAAAGAGGAAATTCAGCTGCAGCAGCCACTCCAGAGGTAGCTACTGTTATCTACTGTTATCTACTGGGAGGAGGCAGCGTGGTGGGAGTGGTCAGGGTAATGTTCTTGAAATCACATGGTCCTAGGTTCAAACCCTCCATCCTGCCATTCCTCTGATTTGTTCTTGGTTGCCCTGAGTTCAACTCCTTGGCTGCTCTTTGTGTAAAGCCAACTGATCTGCCTTCTGCCAGTTGCTATTTTTAAACACTCTGTTTAGTTACTGTTTCATTCATTTGTATTGGCCCTTTAAAGACTGGAGGGCCCCATTGGGAGAGTAGTAAATTGAGTATACAAACACACATACAAAATTTCATGAAGTTAAAGGAGCACCATTAGTAATTTTGTATTATTTCACCTCCTTTTGTTTTACAAACACAATAAGATATTTTTAGCCTTAGCAGCAATCCAAGCTAGTGAGAGTAGGACGCACTAGTCTTGCAGTTGTTCTGGCACACATCATCAAGCCATTTTAGAAAATAAAATAATTGATTCAGAAGAATGTACAAGGACAATGACTAATTTAGGTAATTTCCAGATAAGTTAAGCCCGTTTGTAGTAAATTAATTGTCACTTGAATGACTGTTTACTGTTTAGGGTAACTGCATGTTTATGTTACAGGGATTTCCAGCAATACCACGCGTCTTAGATCCAATACACAGCCATTCCTTACTGAATACAGAAACCCTGTGGATTCTCTCTACCATCCTGCCACATTGCTTCATAAGAGGTACTCCTTTAACATTCAACACAGGCAGTCTCCAGTCAGAAGTCTTAGAAGAAAGAATTGCAAACCCTGTAGAGAGAGTAAGCTAATTTCGTCTTGTAACACTTTCAATACCCCTTGCTAACCAACTTCAAGGTCCATAGTGTAAGTTACGAACCGAGCTTTTTTCGCCTGCTAAAGCGAAGCGCTGAGCGCGCTAGCCTTAAATTCTAACGGAAAGAGCAAGGTTCCGTAACTTACAGTACGGACCGGGAAGAAAAAGTTTTGTAAGATATTTATGATATCTCTAGGTTTAGATAGAGGGGAAATATTTCAATTCAAACAAACCTCTGAATTTAGCGGGCCGCACAGTGAAATACGGCTCGCTAAATTGATCACACATAGCGCACAATACGTAACTGAGAGAGAAAATGGTGAAGTGTAATTCTTGATTGTTGTTAAGAAATCACGCAAAAGAAAAAGAAGTAAGACCTAATTCTAAGACAGCACGATCTGAAAAGTATGAGCAGAGAGGTTTTAGCCGGTGTAGCTGGCTAGCGGTTTTGTGTGTGCTTTGAAATATCAAGTGGGGAAGCTCTGTAAAATAGTGATGAAGTTTGCGCAGTGCTATGTTGATGTTTTATCCACTTTCTCACTGTTTTCTGAATCTTTCCAGTGTAAAGAATGGACCTTACTCTATGATAGTCGTGAACATGGTCAGAGTTTAAACAGGTGAGTGATTTGCTGAACATTTCTGAAGGGATAGAGGGAGTTGTTGAGCATATGATATGAGTGCGGGTCAGAGACAATTTGCAGACGTTAACTGTAGCAGTATGCTGGACGCGTGTCACCCCATAAGTACCTGACTCATTATAGAGTTCTTTGTAGTTCAGTTGTACAGCCTGCGAGTAGGCCCTCTTTTATAAGTGCTTCAGGACGCGTGTTTCTCCGCCCGCGGGAAATTTTGAGACGAGTCGGGAAGAGGTTTATCCTAAGTTCTGGCGGTAATAGCGTAAGACGCCTTGTAGATCTCTTATCGATTCGCGCTGCTCAAGCGCTGGTAATGAAGGTCTGCTGACAGGCTTTGTTTGGTAAAGCACCAAAAGGTCTGAAGTTTGATTCCCCGTTGGAACTCATGTTTCCTAACTTTGTGAATAGGCAAAGGACATCTCTCGCTCATACTGTACAGTTTTCAGGAAATTAAATCAGCCTTTACAGCTTGGGGTGTAGAGAAAAGTAACAACTTACGGGGGGGGTTTTTAACAGATTTTTCCATAAGAAGCTGCCAATCTTGTAATATGCAGCTGTGTCCAGGAAAGGAACCATAAGGCGAAATACAAGCACGTGAGCCTGCTGGTTAAAGAGACGGCGGTAAGAGATCTTATAGGCAGCGGTAGACCGCCACCAGTAACCGGCTTTTGATAAAACCGCTGACTTATTGTTAGAATTGTTTGGTTTCGGTATAAGTAACCGATGGTATTTTGATTTGATTTAGGTTCAAGCATCACTGCATGGATTACCGTGGACCTACTGTCGCTCTGTTAAAGGTTGGAAAGGAAGGATTACTCATTGCAGCTATTGATGTCGAATGGAGGTAAGAGATCGAATGTATATATGAAACAGTACACATGCCCTATTTTCCAAGCCAAGAGAAATTTAAAGATGATTTTGGCATTCGCCAGCTGTTATTTTTTTGCGTTGAAAAAAATTTGTGAGAATTGTTAAGTTTTGTGAACTCAGCTACGAGGATTGTTTTTTTCCTGTATGATCATAATGGGAAATCTTGAGCGAGCAATTGGGGTAGCCAATCAGAATACAGGATCCACTCCGACAAGCCCGCGTAAGCGTCATTATAAACCCTATCTTGTCACTGTGTCAGTTCGTAAATTCTTTTCTATATAAAAATTTGTCATTTTTAAGCCACATGCATTTGACTGTGTGTTGGTCTTGATGCTTTACAGACTAACCCCCCCCCCCTCAGGGGTTTGTGTGAATGTTATTGGTATCGTGTTTTGTAGTCAGGTATTGTAAAACATAAATTGACTATCGTAATTCTCGTTTTTAGTTATTATAATGAAATAAAACTGCTTGTCGATCGTTTTCTGAAGTGAAAGGTTTAAAAACCAGCTGACCAAGGTAGTTACTCAGAGTTATGACCGTGATGTTCCATCCTTTTTCCTTCAGGGAATCATCATCAAGCTGGGGAAATTCTGGATGTAGGATTATTCAAGTGAGACCCAAGTTTCGGGTGTTAAGAGGTGAGAAATATGGGCGCTTACAGTTTGATGCATACACGGGGTAACCGATCAAGTCGACTGGAAGTCATCTCGCCCGAAGTTATGTCGCCCTAAACTAGAGGGCAAGATGACTTTCGGGCTATGTGTGCGCGTGTAGGAGAGAGGAAGCTCTAGAATTCATTTGTTGTCTTTGTCTGCTCCATGCAAAAGCTCAAAGGATATTAGTAAATCATCAGCCAGATCAACCCTAAAAATAGTCTACTGGCTGATTTGCGAAGCTAAGGTTAGCTAAGCTTGTTTCAAGGGAACGTCAATACATTGTCGGCAGACAATCGTGTATGACACTGTAAGAAAAAGTTGCACACTAGGAACGAGGGTTACAATCTTTTCGTTTTTGTTCAATAGCTGGTCCAAACTTGATCTTCTTTAACGAGAGGGCGAGAGGTTTGCCATCAGGGATAGTTCTGGGTCAGACTTCAAGGCCTTGTGTCACACTGGATGCTGATTTAACTGCTGCTAAACTTCATTATCAGATGGATTTGACGCCACAGACCATCAACAAAATAGAGGTACAAACATCACTGCAACCGCTTAGATATTCTTGAGATTCTCACATCAATGTCAATATTAGCAACTGCGCACTTTTTCCTCCCTTAACGTAAAATTAACCCAAACTTGTTATCAGTTGATTTTTTTGGGGTTAGGGGAGGGGTAGGTGCGAAGTTACTGACATTGATCCAAATTCACAGTACGGTGCTTATTTGTTCTTGATACACGCTACGTCTTCGCTTTGAATCAAACATTTTGCTTCTTCGTTGTGTTTTCGATTTCAGGTTTGGGGATGTGGTGGACAGGAATTGAAAGCAAAACAGCAAAAACAACAACAATGGGAACGAAAACAAGCAGAGAAACTTCAAAAGGTTTGAAAAAGCGGAGATTACTTTGAAAATATTTATCTGATAGCAGAGTTTCTCTGGAAATCCAGGTTCCAAGTAACTTTAGTTGGACGAAGAGAGGAGTTGTTTTAGATCAGGAATAGTGAACCGTCATAACTTTAGGGATACACACGGATCACAAAGGAGGTCTTTGATACGGGAATGAACGCATGCATGGTATCATTATAAGAAAGTAGGCCATGCGCAATTAAATCCGTGGGTTGTTCCATGAACTAAGAGTGACGCTTTTTTTCCTGCTACAGGTAAAGCGACCCGGGAGGTGGGATGAAAACCCAGACAGAGCGATTCTGGACATGGCCGGTGTCACTACAAACCACAGTCAACGATAAAACAGACTGCGCGCATCCGATATTTCATCGACATATCTCGGAAGACATCATTGTTATTCCATTAATGCTATTCAGGGTTACTCCCACGTGTGCAAAGAATTTTCGCAGGGAGGAATGCGATTTGAATATCACCGAGGAAAAACAACCAAAAAAAAGCATCTTCGCCTCGAAAAGATTCCAACAGCAAAACAGGAAAAGCTCTTTTTGACACATCATTGAAATACTTGAAATATTGGGGGATAACTTGGTAGTATTCCAAGCCCATTTATCATATATCTCAGGAAGTGCGTTATCGACTAAGTGTGTGGTAAAATTATGAAGTGTGTTGATGTTCTGTTTTGAGGTCAACATAGCTGGATATTGTTTAAGTTCTCTTTTTGCCGTTTTTGTTGCATTCAAGGTAAAAACAAAGAATAACGGGACCAATATCCAGCCAATCTGATTGAACAAATTTGGTTTGGTCTTTTTTTCGTGTTCAAAGCGGATAGTCCCGAGCAGAAAAGGTTGGCCATCTTGTCCACACGGTAGCCAATCCTAAAAAAAACGGCTCGCTTCGTTGTATCGTCCAAAGATTAGTTTTGAATGTATCTTAGAATTTCTTATGATAATGTAGTCATCACATGATTAAATAAAAAAAAAAGAACCTTTTTTCATGATCGCACTATGGTATCCAAAGATTCATCACAAGTTCTAGAACTTTAGAATTTACTTCAGATAAACAAAAATTTGTAATAGGAAATTTGTAAGGCAGTGATACATTTGCATATACATTTCAGGAGAGGCCAAGAATTCGAAATATTCCAAGTGTTATTGGGACGCTGCATGCATTTATCACTTGATAAATGACTGAAACATTTTACTTTGCCGAATTTTTTCGTATGCCTGCTTATTTCAAGTTTTAACTTCGACTTTCTCAAGAAAACGTATTGGGGAATATTTGTCGGAGCATGGTTGTCCATTTTGCACAACAGGTACACTTGTTTGTATGCATTACAGACCTATAATTGCCAGTTAGTCGAGATGGTTGACAAGCTGTCGAATTAGATTAAATAATCCAGGATCCACTGGTTTTGCCGTTTCATGCATTTTGATTGGTCGAAGCGTTTCCCAAAACGTTTCCTAAAGCGTTTCAGGTTTGTTTGTTTTTACTTTGAGTTCTTGTTTGGCCATATTTAGCTTGGTTCCGGGCTGACTGTCACTTAAGAAAACCTTGATTTTCGTCTTACTGTACTTAACCAAAAAGCTTTCCAGTTCTTTTTGTTACACCCATGCCAATCACTACTGGATTACTTTTCCTTCTCTTTGCTATTTTCCGTAGGTGCTGTCGAAAGTTCTGACTCTGAAACGAGTACAGAAAAGGATTTAAACTCGATTGTGCCACTGCCAGTAAAGCCAGACCCGATCTTAATACCAAGGAACTGCCGAAACCAGAGCCCAGCTCTAAGATGAACCACGGAAGCCAACAAATGTTAAACAGCAAGATAACACTGCTAAGAATCTGTGTTAAGTGTAGACGTGACTTCAAAAGTACCAAGCTCGTTGAAGGGTTTTTTCTTTCGTGAAACCAGAGATGAACAAAGACTTTTCCCAAAAAGTACACAATTACACACATGGGTATCAAATACATGGTGACGAAAATGGTAATTCGGTAAGATCGTGGTAGCCCCTCCAGCGGTAAGGTCTCCCAGCAGATATATTTCTCGTTCTCCAATTCGTGGTGTTCGTTGAAGTACAAACTCAATGCGAATAATGCCAGCGATACAATCCAAATGGCTGGAAGAATTAATTTCAGTTTTCCTTTTGTTAGCGTCGTTCGTCGCAGCACTGGTTTCACAATGGATAAGTATCGATCGAATGCCAGTACGCACATGGTGTAGATGGACACTGACGCACTAAACAGGGTCATTACGTTAAGTCTGCCGCACATTAGGCTTTTCTTGCTACTCCCCGCCATGAGAAACAAAATTTCTAAAACGATATGTATCATACCAGACACACCAAGCGTCAGGTCGCTGATCGCCATGTTCACCATCAAAATAGATGTAAAGTTGTAAAGTTTCTTGTTTTGAACAACGACCGCGCACACGAATGAATTCCCCACGATGTTTGCGATAAAAATGACTGCGTATCCGACGCAGAGGATTATTTCCCCTGTCACAGAAATTGCCATCTGAAGATGCAAGTTTCGGCAAATGCTTGTATAGTGGTAAGCTTGAGAAATCCTTTCACTGACTTGGAACCTAGCTGGTGACTCGATTTAAATACAGCGTTCGGAACGTGTCAGTTTGACGTACATCCTTATTGTGCCCCAGCCTCATTCGCACAAAGCTAAACAAAGACAGGACAAGAACAATATTCCCATTAATATCGATGTGTTGTTTCTTTTTTTGCATAAATTTAATTTTTATACGTATCCCCATTCACAGAATCCAGTACGTAGTTCAATCAGTTTAAATTATTAATTATGTCGTTTTACCACTTACGATGGCTGCAGCGAACTAATATTGCTCATGATATTGTTGATGTCGCAAAGTGCCAACTTAACGTAATTTTTGACCCCTCTTTAGATGGGAAATGAAAACACATAGAGAGCTAATACATTCTATGTGTTCTAGTTGCCTAAACATTGACTTTTTGGGTAAAGAAAAAGGAAAAAATAGCGCGAATAAGTCTGTTGAGTTCAAGGTTCGGTAAAAGCGATAGGTGATAAGAGCCTAAATGCCTAACTTAATAAGTGTCTTATTACCGACCTATTTTCAAAGCTCAGTAGGGAATATATGATCGAGATGAATTCAAGGTTAAATCTGTTCGTTTAGTTGATCTGAAAAAATAAGTCGGAGAACGGAGAAACATTTATTATTCGTCCGTCGCATACATATTTTGCCTTTGCGCATAATTATAAGGGCATTAATTCAAGTCTCTGCCAAATTTGCATGTTCACAGCCAAAAGTTACCTGGATAGGAAAGCTTGAAATTAAAAAACTTGCTGCTTAAGAATCGCGAATATACTCCAGTAAAGTTTACGGTGGTAAAGAGAAGTAACCAGTTCAACTTAATTGTCAGTGAAAGCAAAGGGTTAATTACGCGTGCCTAAGGCAAAAGTAAGTACGTGAAGCGTGAAGTAATAAGGCCGGAAAACGTGATGCTTGTATTTAATCATCCATGCACGTCATGTGTTAACTTAGAGTAGACGTGACTAGTTCATCATTTCTACTATTTTGTGATTCCTAACAGATTTTCTGAGAGGCTTTGAACCTTTCGTTATAAATAGAGATAATTCTTCGGTGGAGAAAGATACGTCGTTTCAGAAGTGAGGTGCGCATATTTGTATTTCTGACTCCTCCGACAAGAGCTTTGCCCAGGCTCGGAAAACTGGCAGGTTTTGATGACTACTTGATTTAGAAAGAAATATTTCCAACATCCCATGAAATCTTGATTATCGGCAAGATTAGCTCTCGAACCACATCCGACAAAGAACGTTCAGCTGACAAAACAAAAGATTCTTCTCTGATCTAAAACGACTAAATATCGATACACAGATCCTTCATTGACCCATTTTATGCAGCTGCGAGTTTTAAACTTTGTGAAACTTAGTGCAATGGAAAACCGAAACACCGAATTTGTTTGGCCAAAAAACTGAAAAACCGATCTAAAAAATAGCCAAAACTACCAATGCTCCTCCTCCTTTAGATAAATTTCACTGCGGTTTTCCTACTCGTGTTCATGATATTGCCATTAACTCCCATAAAAACGTGTTTTTCATCATTCCTTCATCGCAAGTAATGCTTTAGCTTTGCTTGTTTGTTTGTTTGTTCGTCTGGTTTTCTTTTTTCTGTATCGTTTTCACGTTTTCAGGTGTTCGTATAGCGTATAAATTTTTCAGCGTAGGGTGAACCACCCTACCCTACCCCACCAGGAAGAGAAAGCGAAATCACGTGAAAGTCTGCGCGAGGCTGGTATCTAAAAGGTGCCAACAAAATGGAAGATGGCGGAAGGAGAAAGGCAGAATTTATTTTCCGATCGTGGACAGCGAAACTATAAATCAAATCCCCTACTCAATTCATTCAAGAAAAATGAAGCCTCAGAGAGAAGTTCTTTGTCAGAGAGCATTGAGGCACCAAAATCTTATGGGGCTACTCGGAATCCACTGCAACCGCAATGCGACGTGAAGTTGATAGGTCATGTTGTGGAACCTACCGACACATTGCAAGGACTTGCTATAAAATATGGGGTGACGGTGAGAATCAAGCTCAGAATTTTCTTTTACAGTAGATGCATTTTATAGGAAGGAAGGATAAAAAAAATTGAAAGCATTACAATAATGCGGCCTAAACTCGATATGTTATCGAAGAACAATAGTCGCCATGCCGGTTACGTGTTTGCAGACCTACTGTGTTCGGTAATGCTCCTCCCATGTGATTCTCGAATTACTATGTTGTTTATGGCTTTCCTTTTTCGTTCTTGAATTTAGCTTTGCATTAGAGTATGAATATTGAAGCAAACTTACAAGAACTTTGTCATGTGCTGTCAGAATATTTTCCTTAGAATTTGGTTCACGATCACCGTGCAAAAGCGGAAGCTTACATTTACGTAATACTCCACGATTGTTGAAATGAAAGTGGTGACTGGAAATCTAAGCCACATGTGATATTTTTCGTACACATTGCTTACTTTTTCCAGCTGGACAGCTCACGTGTTTTAATTGATAGAACTTTCTCCTACCACAGCTCTGGATTGATCTTTTGTTTTCTTTCCTTTTTTTTTTGCTTTCGAATATTGACGTTGGATAATTTCTTTGCGTTCATTGCACAACACTTGCTAGCCTCATTAGCTGTAATATAAAAGTTATGATACAGTATTGTGCAGAGCGGTCTGTACAGCCACTCCAGGAAGTGTACCAGTCGTTCAACTTAAGATCGTAATGCTCAGTACAACATCATCTCCTGAGATGAATGGAATCTGACAATTTCAAGCTAATTTTGCTTAGTATCTCTAGGGTCTCATTTTTTCCATTTCGGAATGGAACAGTCAACATGGCTTGTGTTTCTTTCTAGTGAATTAAGACCTAAACTCTAGGCCTGTGAACTATGTGTTCATTCTTTGGCATCAGAATGAAAAATTTTATTATTGTTTTCCATACAAGATTGTTGGCAATTCCTGGATAGGAGAAGAGTGCTTTCTTATTAAGTGCCGTTAAACCTAAACCAAAGATATTACAAAAGCCAATCAGGAGAAAGGAAATTACCTTTATGAGCCAATGAGAACTGAAAGTAAAACGGACCAAATTGCCCAAAGTGCTGTAAGATGCAAGCAGCCAAATGGTGATTGGTGTTAGTTTTGCATCTGATTGTTTGAAAGAGTGGCATAAGTTTTTTGAGCAACCACTGGGTAAAGTAAAAGAAAAAAAATCCTGGGTTATTTACAACACTCAATTGAAAATTACTCCAACCATGATAATGTCAAATTGATTTTTTTTTTTGTTGACAAAAGTATTAGGTAAAGTAGTATGATTTATTAAATTTGTTAGAAAATACATTCCTTGAGGAAAGCTGTTTCATTTACTAATCAAACATTATAGTTACAGCAAACAAATTTTTTCCTCAATGAGGTAAGAAGTTGATATCCATATTATATCTTTTTTAGGTTGAACAGTTAAAAAGAGCAAACAAAATTTGGGCAAATGACAATATACACTTGTTTAAAATCCTAAAAATTCCAGTTAGGAAGGACTCAAAACACTACATAGAAGACTCTGAATTTTCTGAAGATGAATCAGGGACAGATGATAGTGGTATAAATGAAGACAGAGGCACAATCAATTCTGAAGCAAGAGTTGACAAAGGAAATAAAAGTGGTCACATGTGTGATGGATCTCTTGAGGAATCCAGAGAAACAGAAGGGGAGAGACAACAACAAAACACAGCTTCCAGTTTTCTGGAGCAACTTGATGCAAGGATAAAAAGCTCTAAAAAGGAATCTGAGAAACTTAGGTAAGGTCTAATAATGATGAGAGAAGGAAACTGAAATAATGGGTTGTACAACTCAAAAACAGCAATCATGATATCTCTATGTACTGTAGTCTTGCAACTAGTTGTAATCAAGTATAAGTAAAGTGCATTTGATCTATTTAAGAAACAGATGTTTTTTTTTGGCCTAACAAACTCCATTGTATGATGAAACCTACAAACCTCAAATAGTGGTGTGGCATGCAGAGCTGATTTGTATTTACTTATTTTTTTTAATTTAATGTGTGTAATTCATCAACTAATCTCTCCATGGAATTCAGAACAGAGCCAGTCAAGGTGTGAGACTTCACTTACCCACCAGCACATAAGAACTAGGCCATGTGTATCAGTCAGTTCAAGTTGCTGTTGAAAAGCTTAAACATTCTAGCTTTGTATTGATACCCAAAGGATTTCATAAAACCAACAGGACTGAAAAACAACATGAATAGTAACCATACTCCACCATCCATAGTAATAACTAACACCAAAAGATCTGAATGAAATTACAAACTAACTGGTCACCAAAACGGAAATGTCTGAAATGTTTATTGACTAAAAATACATTTTATATCTATTGATCAGAATAAAGAGCCATAAATTTACCAGTTAAATGAGTATCTCTGAGAACAAAACGGTATTATTTTTTATTGATTCATTTTGAGAATTCAACATATGTCATTTACTCAATGAAACACTTTTTTGTGCACAGAACTGTTTCAGGACCTAAAGTTATTGCAGATTTAGAAAGAGCACATGCCAGCAGTCTCACATCTGAAGATGATTTGTTTCGACCACTTGAAGCTGGATCTTCAAGGCGACAAAGAGGACAAGTACTTGCATCTAAAAGGCATGTAAGAAAGGAGAAAACTGCTGTCCAGGATGCCGATGATCAGTTCTTTGAGCTTTGACATAGGATCTAAAACAGATATCATTTTAATTTTGCATTTTATGATTTGAATTGACCATCATACATACAAAGTCATGACTCCAGTTTTATTTAATTTGACAAGATACAAATGTCTACAGCAAAAATTTGCATCTGTAAATTTTTACTGTATAATTCAAATCAATGATAGGGAAAACAAAAATGTTTAAGCTGCAGATTCTTCAAAGGCTTGTTGGAAATGTGTCCATTCACAGCATACATAGCTATCCAGATACCAATCGTAGTCCTTTGAATGACAGATGTCTTTAACCCTTTACGCTCTAACATCAGTATGCACATTCTCCATACTGTTCTCTATACATTTCCTGATGTGCCGACAAGGAGAATTTGTTTAAAAATCATTTCCTTGATTCTCTTGACCTTAATGTTTGATTCTGGGGTGATATTGTAAAGAGAAATTAGAAGCTGGTCACTCTTTGGGGTTAAGTGGTCTTAGTTTCTCAGAAGCACAAATTGGTTTTTAATTGGAGCTAAAAGCAGCGAAACTTTGGCTCCAGAGGAAAGGGGGTAATTCAATTGAGATATTTCTTTTTTTTTTAGTCAGACTAATATGCTTTTAGTCACTAGTTCAATTTTGCATTGAACTAATCCCTCACCCTACTCATCTGCTGTTCACACAGTTGCCAGCATTTTCTCAGGCATCTTTACCAGAAATCAATAACAATCTGTCAGCTCAAACACACCTTTATCACTTGAACTCTCAGAAGTGATTAACATATAACTTCTCCCTCTTATATCCGTACATCATCCAGCAAATAGGTAATGAGAATACTCAAACCTATTAAGTAGAAGTAGTTTTCTTGATCCAACACCAAATTGTTGCAACTAAATTACAATGAAATGTGTAGCAGCCAGAAGCAAGAATTAACAAGCAGATCCTAGGATTTGAAGGGTTAATTGCATGAGATAGAGTGACAGGTATAGATTTAAAAAGAATTCATGTAGAGATTTTTACTCCTTAGTGAGGGTTCAGAGGAGATGAAAATTTTGAAATGACTGAAATTTACTTTGTCTGGCCAGGAAGTAATTTTATATTCAAACTCAGTCAGATTTTACCATAGTTGTAGAGCTAACAATGGAGACAGGAAACTTTGAGTTCCATTTATGTTATACATGAATGCTACTGGTAGGAAGGAAGTTTGTCATTGTCCGAGTGAATATTCCATCCCTTCAACCACAATTGATCTTGACTCTGTTTAACATGGAAAGTGAAACTGGATCCTTAGCTGCTAAACCATGTATAAAATGGAAAGAAAATTCAGTTCTATAAGAAGTTACGGTAATTGAATGTTAAATAATTATTAGGAGTGGTTGTCACTTCCTGGAGAAACATTTTTAATATATTTTTTCATCATTAAGTCCATGAATTTTTCTTAGGGATTAATAATTGAAGTATTTTTATAGTGAAACAAATTAACAAGGCAAAATTGGTCTAATAGGATGATGTGAAATATTTAACAAGAATATTATGAACAGTTACAAAGCCAGGATGAAATACATAGTGAGTGAGATGTGACAAGCATTATACAAGCATTATTCAATACATTGAGCACTTACATTTCCTTAACGCACGGTATCTAGGTCAATTGTCTGTAAGTTTCTTTCTTTATCTCTAACAATATGATTCCCCAAGCAAACTCTAAAAGAAATTTATGGCAGACAGTAAGGAGAATTTTCAGTAATGTATTGGGAGTGAATAGGGTTTAATCTGTTTGTGGGAAGAACTAAATTGTTGACTTGTATTTGTATGTCATAACTTAAACCAGAGTTTGATGGGTTAATGCTTTAACTCCTACAAGTGATTAGGATGTAACTTCTCCCATTATATATCTTGATCTAACACCAAATTCTTGTAACTAATTTACCAGGAAATGTGTAGCAGCTAGGAGGGAGAATTAATAATCTGATCTTGGTAATTAAAAGGTTAACCGACTGTATCATACAGTGTTTTTCTACGATATTCACTTGTTGTTTGGTGGAACATTATCTGGGACACAGTGATAAAAGTTTTCCTCAGTTTTTTATCGGAATAAACTCTCCTACAGAGGTGCAACCAAAATAAAAAATGACTGTGGTGAGAAATGGTATACACTTCCAATTTTTCATTGTCTAGGCTTAATTAACATGTGACTGAATAAATTCAACTAATTCCCGAGTTAAATAATTAGCGATTTTAATTTAAAACCCTCGGTTTGAAGCTGATTGTCTTAGGCACTGGGTTAAGGTTTATGGGGTGTGATTTTGTCTTAAGCATTAGTTAACACGATATTGGCGTATAAATCGATCTACTAAAATTGTATTTGCTTATCCAAACCAGTTGGGCTCAGAACATATTAAGAGTTCCTAAAGGTTTGTTGATAAGTTTTCCTGTGTGGACAAGAAAAAAAGGTCTGGAACGGGAACCGACCGTAGTTATCGTTTTTAAGCCCAAAGTAGTTTGAAAGAAGTAATCCGTTCCTGGTGTCCTTTTGGTAAAACCAGAGCGCGATTGTCAACGGCGCGGTAGTAGCGGCGGAGCGGAAAATCGAGGAGGCTTTGGGTTGAATCGGGCAATGAACAGCTTTTTCGCTCCGCTGCTATTAACGCGCTGTTTACCATCGCGATTCTCTTTACCGACTGAAAGCTTGGAAAAGGTTAGAAAGAATGAATTGAGAAACCATGCGAGGAGTGCATCAGATAAACGGAAAAAATTCATCTAGATTCAATATTCTAAGATGGAGAGGGAAAACTACCTATAATCCGTCTTGGATTGAAGGCGAAGTGAATTCGGAAACAAGCGAGTTAAAACAGGAAATAATTCAAGACTTCGTTAACCTCGGTGCAGTAAGGAGAAGTCATCAGCGGCATTTAACGAATGATAAACTTCTCTAAGGGAAACGTATAGTAAAATTATTTATTCTCGCATGTTTGCGAAATAAGCTTTCTCCGAGTGATGCAGGATCATCGTGGGTGTCTTTGTGGAGTAACTCGACACCAACCTATATAATGGTATACAGCGCTAATTACGTGTTCATGAGAGAGATTTTCCTCAAATGACAAAAGATAATAATGACTGCCCATCTCTGTGGAATATATCATGGAACTTAAATCGGAACTGTCATAGGTTAAAAACTCACTCGGCAAAATTTGCAAAAAGGAAAAAATTCGATTTTCCTAAAGCATCTTATCATTTGCAAGATAAATTGCGCAGCACATTGCTTCAAAAACAAATTAAATTCTTCGAAGGAATACATCATAAAGCTATGAGCTTTTGCATATATGTATTCGGTCATATTTCAGTCATCTAAAACAATATTCGTTTCCAAAGATATTATTGTCTAACGATCAAACGGATCAATTGAAAAAAAAAACATTCATGGTGGTGCGCGGTTCGTAAATACCCACAAAAGTGAGCGGAAGAACCAATACGTCACTGAATCTGCATTACTTCAAGACGAATTTGTAATAACCACGGACAACGAGTAGATCTTCGAAAAAATGGTTCAAACAGACTACACTAAGAAGTGTTTGCTTTGACACCGACAAAAGCAATTTTTAATCGAAACAGAGCTGGCGATAATTAAGAGATGGAAGAGATATAATATTGACAAACCCGAGTCATAAAAACATAAAATCATCAAATGAAGGACGTTGGGGAAGTCCCAATAAAATAGTTGGTAACAGTATTCATGTATGTGCGTCAATGCTAGCATATTAAAAAGTCGAGACGCGCACTTTAGTGTTTTTATTCATTATACCTTAAGAAGTCGCCGCATTTATTCATGTCCTCTCATGATATTACTTAAAAACAGCTGTTTCAGTTATAAAATGCAAGCGACCGCTTGTGTTGTTTTATAAATTTAAAATTTATTTTTTAGTTTATGGTTTAAGGGCATGATACTATTTACTTTAAAAAAATACAATTTAATCTCTAAATGACGCTTAGTTCAGTTTAAAATCCTTTTGGGAGCTAAACACAAACGAAACTTTCAGATCAATATATGACTTAATTACCATACATCAAAAGGACTCACGCCAGGTGCTGATGTGTTTGGTGTATATTATCTGAGCCCCCCGGTATAAATTTACCTGTTTCTTCAGTCGATCGACCACCACACGTATTTTCTCGAACTCTGATCATTTGCCGATTTCTGAATCAGTTTCACGCGTGCGATTCTGACTCAAGTTTACATGTCCAATATTGCGGTCATGGGCAAAACAAGCTATTTAATGATGGCTGTCTTTGTTGGATGTTTGGCCGCAATTGTGTTTATTCAGAAGGAAAGAATAGATTTGAACTGTCTATGGAGTGTTTTGCTCCAAAAAGGTGACCAAGCTCGTAACGAAAAAACTGATCATCTACAGAGAACTGCTCCCTCAGAAAATGCTTGTAAAGGTCAGACAGATTCAAGCTTGCCAGATGTACCATGTGCTATTGATGATTCATCAAGAAATACTAAGGAAGTGAGATCAAAACAAAATAACGGAGAAAGCGAATGTTTCGCGCAAGATGGTGCCACAACCTCAATAAAAGAACAACAAATGGAAAATGGAAATAAACATTGCAAAGGGAAAAAAGCGAACGAAGAACAAAACAACGAGATTTTAACAGGTCATATGAAGAAATTAGGAGAACATGGCTCCATTATAATGCATGGAGAAATCGAGGAGCTAAATTTTGTACCAAACGGGAAAGATTTTTACGAACATTTTTTACGTAAACGGAGACCTCTGATTATGCGCGGAGCAATAAAGAATTGGCCTGCCGTACAGAACTGGGCGAACGAAAGTTACCTCCGCGAAAAATATGGCGAAGTCGTGTTTGACGTTCAACTTACAAAAAAATACGAGGGAGAATTTCCAGCGAAGAAGACAATGAACCTTAACGAGTTCCTTACGATTTACAAAAGCAAGCAAGTTTATTTAGACTGTCCTTTCCCCCACAGTGATATGATTAAAGACATTTTCGTTCCGTATTGCTTGCAATGCGAAGAAGTGATGCCAACTATTGCTAGCACTCATTTACTTTTTAGTAGTGGAAATACAAGCTCTAGTTGCCATATGGATGGATATGAAAACCTTCTAAGTCTCATCGCTGGAAAGAAGGAAGTCTTAGTGGCTAGTCCGAAGTATGTAGAATATTTCTATCCTCGGAACCACACTACAGTGAACATTGAATCGCCCATTGATCCAGAGGCAGTGAATTTGGAGAAGTTTCCCAAACTGGCCCAAGTACCTTTTCATAAGGTAAGCTGTTTATATCTTCACTCACTTTAATTTTCATGATAATAATGTGCATGACGAAATTACGCGCTTCTGATAGGCTGAAAACGAGTGCCATCTCATGTAACACGAGTGCAAAGTTGTAACACGAGTACAAACTACTTTACCTAAGGGCTCGTGCAATTTTGTTATCCTTTCAAACTTTACACGTGCCTATTAACATCAAATTGCACTGGAAATCATGTTATTACCTTTACGAAAAAAGTTATACACAAAACGTTTCCACAGCAATAATATTTTTTATTTCCACTTATTTTTTATTTATTATTTTTCTTAATTCGTGTGTTTTCTTTCCTTTGTTCATATTTTGGTTTTCGTCATGGTTTTATGTAAATTGAAGATCTTTAGACGGAATTTTTGGTGTCAAGTTGTCTTTTAATCGTCATTAGGGAAGTTAAGTCGAAATGAATGGGGAGCAGATGCCTTGAAAACCTCATCAGTAAAAAGCTTATGACATTAAAAAAAACCTAACATTATTCCCCCTCCGATACTAGTTGGGATCCTTACGGTTTTTTGCACTGAAAATAAAAGGAACAGGTGATCGCAGATATTGATGAAATTCAAGACGAAATGCTAGACACAAAGAAAATAAACATGTCTTCTTTCTTTTTACTTTTATTGTTAAGTCTGAAATGATTCCAAAATTAATTCAATGCGTTCAACGGAACGCATTCCTTGATCTGCTTATACCAGCTTATCACAAATTGCGCGAAAGACCAAAATTATGTAAAACGTCGCGCAATCCAAAATACAAGTAAAAGTCGAACCTTTGTTTTTAAGCGGCAACGTATTAAGCGGTTACCTGTATTAAGCGGTTACCTGTATAAAGCAGTCGGTTGTCAAAGTCGCGTGTTTGTCTTCCCATAATTACTGCAATTTTCACCTCTGTTTAGCGGTCACTAGAAGCCCATTGCTTCACCCTAAACTTAGTCCCAACGGTCTGTTTGTATTGTTCTCCACCCGTATAGAACGGTCACTTGAAGCTTAACTATTCAAATAAAATTGAGAAAAGGGTAATTTAATATTATCAACTGAGTTCATAACGTAACTTGGCAACCTGAAAGAGTTTCAAAGCTGACGTTATCTTTCAAGTAAAACTGAATCTTATCTTATCCCCTAAAATATGAGTAAGTAGTATTTTTGAGCGAGTTTTTGTAAATTAAGTTGTCAACATTGACAAAAGATGGCGTCTTTGTTTTTTTTATAATACTCCTATTCTATGAAACCTGTACAAGCCCGTCAACCTGTATCAAGCGGTCTCCTCGTCATTCCCCTTTGATGGCCGCTTAAGGCAGGTTCGACGGTATTATCTTAAGTTTTGCGCCACGCCACAACATATTCCCAGGGTCTTGCCAGTGTAAGGATGTGTCTACCATGGCTGAGACCAAATCATGTAGCTCCCCCATCGTGGGATGGAAGGGGAAATAGTTTTCTTCTTCGTCTCTCTCTCTCTCTCGTTTCATCGTTCTTCCGTCCAATAAATGTCTTCACTTTTGAAGTCAGACATTATGATAATTTTGATAGGAATGTGATGTAGAAAAAAAAAATTATATTAAAAAAAAAAACCAGACAAAGATATTTCTCTACCCCCTACCATTAGAAAAATTCAGGCTTACTCTTATGTACCCCCTAGGGAGATTTGTAACGATTTGTAACGCCTGGAATATTTTGAAGCAGATGTATTCCGTGTTGGTCTGCCTTGTGTTTTAGAAACGATTACACGCGAGCAGAAGGTTTTTCCTCCAATGGGCTCGTTAGGCCTCAGTGAAACGTTGATGAGGAAGACAAAAGACTCGCATGCTAATTTCTAAAGCGATCTTCTTCGAAGAAAAAACGCTCCTAGGGTACTTCTTGTCTCCGGAAGGCGTAAGCAAATCAAGCCCGGGAACTATCGTCTTTTTTGAGTCAGCTTCTTGTTTAGACAGCAAAGTTTCCGTCGTATTCACGTTCGATTCAGAATTTTCTTTTACGAATTGTTAATGGAAGTTGTTTACATAGTCTCAATTCAGAAATGACCAAGTTCTCGAGTGGTTTTCTTCGCGTGGTAACACGATTAACTGTCTGTGTTTTCCTCGTACAACAACATGTTGTCGCTGATGAAGATGAATTTTTAAAACATCAGCCGGAAAACGGTGAAAATGATGTTAGTAAAAGACAAACAGAATGCAAGAGAGATGGGATTGGCAAAACGGTGGACGACACTGATACGAAAGAAAATACATTTGCAGCTGTTAACGATGTGGAAAAATACGAAAAAGCAGACCTAATGCTTGACGATCAGTGTAAAAGTAAGGAACAAAAACAGTCAGGGGATGAAGTCACTAAAAGAGAAACTGAAAAGCTTGTAGGTCATTTGAAAAAATTGGGAGACCATGGATCTCAAATTATTACTGGTAAAATAGAAGACATTGATTATATTCCAAATGGGAAGGATTTCTATACACATTTTATGCGGAAAAGAAGGCCACTTGTGATGCGAGGTGCTGCTTCAGACTGGTCTGCTGTGAAACACTGGGCAAATGAAACATACATGAGACAAAAATATGGCCATGTTGTATTTGATGTTGAGTTTACTAAACATTACGAGAGAATACATCCAATTAAGAAAACCATGAACATGAGTGAATATCTGGATATTTACAAAAATAAACAAGTTTATTTGGACTGCCCCTTTCCGCAATCTGACATGACTACAGATATCATGGTTCCATACTGTCTACAGTGTGAGGAAGTGATATCTTCTATTACAAGCATTCATTTGTTGTATAGTAGTGGTAACACCAGTTCTAGTCTCCATCAAGATGGATATGAGAATCTTCTGACTCTAATTTCTGGAGTAAAGGAAGTTCTTATAGCAAATAGCACCTACGGAGAACACTTGTATGCCAATAATTATTCCACAGTGCCTGGTTTATCACCAGTGAACCCTGAGTCAGTAGATCTCACAACATTTCCATTAGTATCAGATGTAGTTTTTCATAAGGTGAGGAATGGGAATTTCTATAAGATGACTTGCATGTAGAAGCTGGTATTTTATGATCTAAATTGAATTTTGACCTTATTATAAAAGACTTCAAGTGACTTAAATATGTTTTTCCAACAACATACCTGTGGGCTCATGCTGAAAAGGTTTCTTATTTTAAAAAATAATCTCCTTGATGTCTTAGTGGCAGATGAAAATCAAAGAGAGTTACATGGTTTTGCTCATTTTTTTTTTCTAATTTGATTTCTTGGCACCTCCTTATGAATTTATTATGAATTTATTTATAATGATTTTGACTGCTAGAGGTGATGATCATATAACTACTCCCTATAATATTCATTCATTATGAACCAAACAGGTTATGAGATTATTCAAACTTACAAACTTAGAAGGTGTCATCTTGATCTGACACCAAATCCTTTTCACTAATTTACAAGCAGTCAGAAGGAAGAATGAACAATCAGATCTTGGGAGTTAAAGGGTAAATTAGCATAGATATTAAAAGCTGTTGGGGTTTGCATTGTTGCCCATTTGCTTTTCTGGCTTTCAGTCTGACTAGTTTACACTTTATCACTTGGTTGGCTTTTGGTTTCTTTAAGCAGATCTTGAGATGTTGATACACTGTAAAGTTTGATCAGCTGTTATACACTTTTTTGCTATTTTATTTTTTGATTCAGCACACATGAAACAAGACATTAAATAAGAGATACAACAAAATTTACCAAATTTTCTCCTAATTGATTCATGAATGAATGTTTACTTTTCTGTTTTAGATGGCTGTATTTTTTTAAATTTCTCCATGCATCTTAGAAATTTCAAGAAAAATAAATGCAAAGAAAACCTAAACCTTCAATAGGCATCTAGCATTAATTTTTCAGACACTGGTAACTTGATGACTAAAAATGTTTTTTTTTGTTATCTTAGGTTGTTCTAAATGCTGGTGACATCCTGTACATTCCACAACACTGGTGGCATCATGTAAGATCATTTGAATGTCCAAACATTGCCATTTCTTTGTGGTTTCATCCATTTGCAGAAAAAGAAGAAGTTTCTCTTGATGAGGAAGAGGAGGTAAGACATCAAAATTAGTCTATGGATAAAAATAATTTCCTCATTTTATTAAACTTACTGTCAGGAATCATTTATGTGTTTCGTGATGATCTTGTAGAGATGTTTTTATTACAACTTCTGTTGAGTTTGTAGACCCAGCATTTATTTCAGGAGCTTGGCATAATTTTTCAAAATGAAATATATATATATAATTTATGATTATAAATTTTGCATTTATTTTAGGATCTATATTAAGCCTGTTTTTGTATTTGCAACATTCAGTAAGATCAGTTTGAAACTTCAGGTCAGATAACAAACTTAAGTAAAGCATCTATGATTAAACTTGAGTCTTAAGTTGACATTTCATGTGTACATTGTAAGTGTAGCATAGCAACCCCTTACCTGTTGATGTGACATATTTTTACGCCTTACCAAAAATCTCAGTCATTTCATCATTTTTGAAAATCATCAACTTAAAGGTTAAATGGTATTTTAATTCTGTTTTGTATTTATTTTTTGTTGCATTCCAGTATATAGCTGGAAAACAAATGATAGTTTAGTCTGATAAGGGCAATGCTAAAGGGAACTTTTAATCACATGTGACCCTAATGATGGTTTCTGCTCAGATTTTTGAAACATTTCTTCACCGTCACTGTCATTATATATCTCTCTTCTAAACTATCCTTACTGTGCATATTATTTTTTATTGATACTTTTCATTTTACTGGCTATTCTTACTTTCAGCAAAATGTGTTTGAAGACATGGTGTTGGCAACAAAAGCCTTTAACAAACTTGTGGAAACTTACCCAGAAACAATCAAAT